ATAATGAAAGATATAAAAAGTAGTGCTTTTCAAATTTGAGCCTCCTCTGAAGAAAACTTCACGAGCCGCCACTGAATCATAATATACTATTATGGCTATAGAAAAAACTGTTCTCTAAAAAAATTAATAAAAATAATTGTTTACAGTTTAAGAACAGTATTGGTGTGTACACGTTTAATACATACTTATTTAACATAATAAATAACTTCCAGTTTTTACAACAATTAGCTTACGAATAACATCTGCACTTTACTGGTATAAAAGGTACAGTACCATATATTCAGATTGTTCATACAATTCAATTATTACATAGGATAGAAGTCATACGTATCAAATAAGTACTATCAAAATAAAAAAAAATGGTCAAATATTTCCACAGAACTCCCTTCGCGCTTGAAGTACGAGTCCAACAAAGCCACAATCGAACAAAATGTTCTGAATATTATTATTATTATAGGAGTAATTCTTATTAAATACAGGCATGCGTATTCTCGCATAAACAGATAAAATGGGGTGACTTAATTTGATCAATAAAAATGTTGTCATCCTGTCATAAGCACAGATAGTACACATAGCGAAAGAAAAAAGAGAAAGTTTGGCATCGAACTTGCAGGTGTGCAGGTCGGCGTTCTCCTCAATAACCAACAAGTGTAGGAGGGCTTACATCCTGTGCTGGTACCTAGTTTAAGGAAAAACGCAAAGCGGATTCGTACACCACAACTATAGGCGTATATTTTTGCATAACATTTAAATCATTTTAAAATAAAATTCTTTGAAATAATATCATCAAATTGTTCGTGGGAATGATCAGCCAAATTTTGGTTACCGTTTTATCGGCCACATGATACTACAAACATGTACCAAATTTGACAACAATCGGTACAATTGTTTCGGAGGTTAGGTATCTAAAAAAAATTGAAACAGACGCCAAACAGACAGACATACGATTTTTTTATTTTTCAGCTCTTCAGTACATATTTCTATTTCTCAATTTTCCAATTTTTTTATTTCTCAATTTTTAATATTTCTTTCAGTTTTGAGATTTTTCAATATTTCGTTTCTTCGAATTTTCGATTTTTCGACTTCTAAATTTTTAGATTTTTTGATGTTTGGATTTCTCGAGTTTTCAATTTTGCGATATTGTAATTGTTCAATGTTTTAAATTTTAGATTTTTCGATTTCTCGATTTTTTTATTTTTCAGTCCTTCAGTACATATTTCTATTTCTTAATTTTCCAATTTTTTTATTTCTCAATTTTTAATATTTCTTTCAGTTTTGGGAATTTTCAATATTTCGTTTCTTCAAATTTTCGATTTTTCGACTTCGGAATTTTTCGATTTTTTATTTTTTCATTTTTTAAACTTTATATTTTTCAAGTTTTCGACTGTTTCATATTTCGATTTCTCAATTTTTCAATTTCTCGATATGTTGGATGTATGATTGTTACTCATACATACGTACCGAAATATGATTGATAAAAATGAAACACAAACATGTGCTGTGGGACTCTGTATTTTCTTGTTGTTGACGGTTCGGAACCTATGTACAAATTGTGAACAAATTCGAAAGAGATACATTGCAGGTAGTGAATGACTCATAAAAAGAAAGTTGGGGATGCATTGACAAGGGTTGCTGGGTAAAACCCGAAACCCGAACACGATATTGTAATTTTTTAATTTTAAAATTCTAGATTTTTCGATTTCTCGGGTTCTCAGTTCTTCTATATTTTAATTTTTCAATTTTCCCAATTTTTAAATTTTCGATTTTTCAAATTTTGAGATCTCGATTTATCAATTTTTCAATTTTTAATTTTTCGACTTCTCGACTTTTCGACCCCTCCATTTCTCAATCTTTTGATGATTTCTCGATGTCTCAGTTTTTGAATTTTTCGATGTTTCGATTTTTCGATTTTTACTTTTCTGTTTTCGGTTTTTCTGTTTCGATTTTTGTATTATTCAATTTTTCAATTTTCCATTTTTTTTTAATTTTCGAGTTTCGATTTCTCGATTTGTTGATTTTTTAGTTTTTCCATTTTTAAGTTTTAAATTTTTTAATTTTTATTTTTTGATGTTTAGATTTCTTCATTTTTCAATTTTACGATATTTTAGTTTTTCAAATTTTGACGTTTCAGAATTTTCAGATTTAATTAATCTACTTTTTGATTTCCCAAAGTTTCGATCTTCCAGTTCTTCAGTTCTTCAATTTTTCGATTATTCAGGTTTTTGATTTTTCAATTTTTCGATTTTTCGACTTTGCTTTTTGACTTTTTGATTTCTCAATTTTTCAATTTTTTAACTTCCAAATTTTTGAATATTTTGTACAATTTTGTGATTTTTCAGTTTTTCGATTCTTTTAGCATTTCGACTTTTCGATTTTTCTAATTCTGGATATTTCGATTTCTCGACTTTTTATTGTTTGAATTTTCAATTTTCGTTTTTTAAATTTTAGATTTTTCAATTTTTCAACTGTTTTATACTTTGATTTCTCAACTTTTCAACATTTCCGTTTTCTAACTTTTCAGTTTTTAAAATTTTAGGTTTTTCGATTTGTCGAGTTTTCAGTTCTTCTATATTTCAATTTTTCAATTTTCGAAATTTTTAATTTTCGATTATCCATTTTTTTTTAATTTTTTGATTTTCCAATTTTTCGATGTTTCAATTTCTCATTTATCCAATTTTTTAATTTCTCGGTTTTTAATTTTTTTTTATTTCTTCATGTTTAGACTTCTCGATTTTACAATTTTTCGATATTTGAATTTTTCAAGTTTTAATTTTGCCATCTTGGTTTTTCGACCTTTAAAATTTTTCGACTTTTTGTTTTATAGATTTCCCGATTTTTCAAGTTTTCGATTTCTCAATTTTTTCAACATTATCAGTTTTGGGAACTTTTCAATTTCTTTTTTCAATTCGGAACGCATAGAATCGACATTGGCCTGATCGCGCTCCGGTCTGTGGATCAAACATGTTTCCAGGCGACGACAAAAATTGTTATCGCCAATTCCACTTAGAAGTTTAATATTTTGTAAAATTCGGTTGTTAATTGTTCAAGTTTTCCACATTCATTTGGGTTAGGAAAAGTGAAATTTTTCCTAACTAGAGCGGAAAAATAAAACAAAACAATATCAAACACCACTTCTCAAATTCCTTGTACGCCTTTTTATAATTTTTTTTTGATTTCTCGGCCAATAGTGAATTACTTGCCAGTGTGGCTGACTCTTCAACATCAAAAGATACTGATGAAACATCATCTTCCAACATTTTTAGCTCAAGAAACACCCAAAACACTTCAAACGTTGAAAAATTGCAAAATGTTGCGTTGTTTGTTTGTATTTTCCATGACAACAAATTTATTGCATTAAAAGGGACTTGATACTTTATTATTCAATTAAATTTATAATGAAGAGTTTTTTTACCTAATTTTACAAAATTTGATAGGAAAAGTGTCTTTCCACATTCACGACATGTTTTTGATCTAGACTTCGTCTCTATCAAAAATCTCATGTCTAGAATGTGGAAAAATGTCACTTTTCCTATCTTATTGCACAAATACGAGTAGCTATTATGTGAAAATGGAACACTTAAATGAAAATAATTGCCGAAATGTATTTACCGAATTTTATACAGATCGTATGCATTTAAAAAAGCCCTTCAAATTTAGTCACTTTTTCCAAATGGGGATATCAAAATTCAAAAAGGACAAATTATAACTCTAGAGGATGGTGATTCGATAGAACGACAGACAGGAACTGGAATTCCAGCAAGAAAAATGACCCAGAAGAAGAGAGAAGCCTTAATCAGTCAGAACCACGGCAGTAACTATGTACTGAAACATTATAACTAGTAACTTAGTAACATAATAGTGTAAATAGCGTGTATTATTTTTAACATCCATACTCACTAGCCACGGTAAACTTGGACAGAAATTTAAAATCGGCAAAAAGTATATTACTAAGGGAGAATAAAATCATATTTGCAAAGCGAAAATCAATTCACAAATATTCAGAAAAACAAAAATTGGAACAAAAGCAAAAATTAAAAAAATTTTCTGTATCATTACGCAGCCAACGTTATTAAGACCCACCACTGACCCGGAAATGACCGGCATTCAGGCAAGACTTCTATCATTACGGGTACTAAGACCAAGTAATGATATTATTATTATTATTATTATTATTATTATTATTAATTTTGCGTTCGGGCAGAGGCCTAACTTGTTATGCGCGCGCTTTGATGCATATAATGACTTATAAATATTCAGGTTATTCCGAAGGACAAAAATGTTCCGAACGTCCCACAACTGCAATCAATTGAACGCTTTTGGGGAAATCTAAAGAGGAATTTGTGTGAAAAATGTAGGGTAGGAACCCTTCACACATATAGAATTAAGCGTTGTGTATTACTGAAAATTTGGCAGACAAAAATATTGGCTTTCAGAAATTTAATACGCCGTGTTAAAACAAAAATTTGCGAAGCAAGTAGATATGGTGCAGATCGTATTCTATAAAGTTGTTTTATAAATATTAACAGTTGCATTTTTAATTCGTCATTCAATAATAAAGTTATGCTAGTTTGAAACAGATTTTTGGTCGCCACACCCTTCGAGTCGCAAAGTGTCAGTAATTTTCCGTACCTTCCGACTCGTTAAATTTCAAACTAAAACGGCTGCAAGAGCGATCCACTTACAGTAGTTGTGTTGTACAAGCTCAGACAACAACCCGTAAAATGGTGTTAGTAACAACCATTGAAGGTTAGAGGGCTTTTGTCGCATTTTGGGGCGCCCTTTTACCGCCAATGTTAACTCACTGGTACGCATAAGGATACGGGGTTGTCGGTCTTTTTAAATACATAGTCACTGCCCTAATTCAACCGTTCAATATTGTTTCACACTAAATATGTCACAACCGGAAAATAGAAATAAAGAGCCCCAATCATGCACTCGCGTAATAAGACCTCTCTCGTCCCCACACTGGTGCATTATTCAGCATTTTCTTTTTGTTTCAGGAACACAATATCGTCTCTAAACGGCGAATGGTCTCACATGAAGAACACCCTGACGACGCTATTCCTCGGCGAAAACGACATCACGGAGGTGTCTGGCGACCAGCCGGACCACATCTCGAAACCGTCGCACGGCCTGCGCCAGTTCAAGTCCCTCATTTGGCTGAACCTGGACGGAAACAGAATATATAAAATCCATAAGCACTCTTTGCCTCTCACTCTCCAGACCGCCAGCATCTCGCATAATTTGATCGAGAACTTTCCGCTCGAAGTCGTGGCCGGCCTGCCCCATTTGCAATGGCTCTATTTACGCGGAAACCACATCAGGAGTTTACCGGAGCACACGTTCGGCAGGAAGCTGTGGCTGGAGAAGATCGACCTGGGGGAGAACTACTTGAAAAGCTTACCGCGGCACCCCTTCAACGGGTCCGTCTACATCCGGGACCTCAACCTGGCCTTCAACGACTTCAGGACCCTCCAGAGCGAAGGCTTCTCGGGGCTACAATGCGGAAGGATCATCCTGTCGTACAACGCGCTCGAAGGGGTGGAGATCGGAGCTTTCGACGGCATCCAAGAGACGCTGGAGTACCTCGACTTCGACCACAACAACTTCCAGCAGATCCCTCAGGCGTTGAGCCAGCTCAAGTCGCTCAAATATTTATACTTGTCGTCGAACATGCTCACCGAAATACCGGAGCGGGCTTTCGAGAACTTCTGCTCGAGCTTGAAAGCCGTGAGCTTGAGCGGAAACCGTTTGACGCGAATTCCCGCAGAAACATTGCAAAATTGCTCGAAAATTTCCCACTTCAACATCGGCTTTAATGAAATATACGAAGTGGGCGAGAGCGACTTCAGCGGTTGGGGCTACAACATCAAGAGCCTCATACTGGGGAACAATCGCATTACGAGCTTGAGGAGCCAGATTTTCGCCGATTTGCAGCAACTTAAAGAACTGAGTTTGAGTTTCAACCCGTTGCGGGTCATCGACGGTGGCGCGTTCGCCGGCCTCGACGGCTTAGAGAGTTTGGAAGTGTCGTTCGGGTTCGACAGAGAGGACCTCCCACACGAGATTTTCAAACCTCTAACAAACTTGAAATGGCTTTCGCTCGACAACAATAACTTTAATACGGTGCCGGAATTCTCATTGGACTCTCTTTCCGAGCTCAAATACCTCAACATCGAGTCCAACAAGGTCCGAGTCGTGCCGGTCAACCTGCTGAAGCCGGCGGTCCACGCCAAGCTCAAAGACGTGCGTCTGTCCAACAACGAAATTACGACGATACGGACGAACACGTTCAAGTCGCTGAACAGCCTGGAGACCATCCTGCTCGCGAATAATCGCATCAAAGCCATCGAAGCCGACAGTTTTAACGATCTTCCAGCGCTTAACAAGCTGATTCTCTCCGATAATTTAATAGCGAAACTTGACAACAGGGCCTTCTCGAACTTGCCGTCTTTGACGAAGCTCGACCTTCACAACAATTATCTGGCGGATTTCTCGTTCCGGTATTTCGCTAACGTGTCGACGCCGCTGCATTTGAATCTGAGTCGCAATCAGATCTCGTCGTGCAACGCCGAGTTCAAGATACTCAACGTGGACGTCATCGATCTGAGATACAACAACATGGCGCGGGTCCCCAGGTGCGTTGAAATATTGCGAACTTTACTGACAGACAGGTTTTATCTACAAAGGGTTATTTTGTTCACTTGACGAGCTAGTTACAGATCGCGGCAACGGTTGTATTTTCAACAACTTCCTTTGTCGTGTATTACATAAAGCTGCCTTATCTTTATTTACGAGATTGGATTTGTTAAAAATTTTATGGAGATATCAATCACTTGCTCTTGAAAAATATTATTCATATTTTCGCTCCCTACCAAACAAATTTTTATCAAATTGTTTGATATTTTTCTTTTAATTTAAATTTTTATCATGACGCCTCGGCCATTTTAATCAAGAAATCAAAATGAAAAATTTATAATTCATCTAAATTCAAATCTATACCTCTTCTGCCATTTCGTTCAGGCGTTAAGAGAATTAAAGGAAAGCGCAATGTTTCTCCAAAATATACTTTTCCAAATAAATTTTTCTTTTAGGTTCTCAAGACAAATTTTTATAAAATTTTAATTATCCCGGCGCCTCCACCATTTCTACACAAAAAATTAAAATTCGTCAGATGAGCCTCAATTCGAGTCTACTTTATAGAAAATTATCTCAGAATGACAAATATATCATTAGTTTCACCATATCTCTTTAAATAATAAAAATAAACCCATTTGCGTGACAAAAAATTAATTTACCAACATCGTTTCAAAAATATACTAGGAAGTATTTGTTTTAGTTCAAATTTATATCAGGTCTGTTATTTCGTCCAGGCGTTTAGAGAATTAAAGAACGGCATCACGTTTTTCTAAAATATACTTTTCTAAGTAAACTTTTATTTTAAATTATCCAGACAAATTTTTATAAAATTTAAATTGTCCCGGTGCATCCTCAATTTTTATACAAAAATTTAAAATACGTCAAATAATCCTCAACGAGAGTCTATCTTACAGAAAATTTTCTCAAAATGACAAATCTGCAATTATTTTTTCCATATCTCTGCAAATAATAAAAATCAACCCATTTACATGACAAAAAATTAATTTACCAAGATCGTTTCAAAAATTTACCGTTTATTTTAGTTTCAATTTATATCGGGTCTGTTATTTCGTCCAGGCGTTTAGAGAATTGAAGAACAGCATCAGGTTTTTCCAAAATATACGTTTCCAAGTAAACTTTTCTTTTGGATTCTCGAGAGAAATTTTTATCAAATTTAAATTGTCCCGGCGCCTCCACCATTTTCACACAAAAATTTAAAATTTGTCAAATAAGCCTCAACGAGAGTCTATCTGACAGAACATTTTCTCAGAATGACAAATTTGTAATTATTTTTGCCATATCTCTGAAAAATAATAAAAATAAACCCATTTACATGACAAAAAATAAATTTACCAAGGTCGTTTCAAAAATGTATAATTTATTTTAGTTCAAATCTATATTAGTTCTGTTATTTCGTCCAGGCGTTTAGACAATTAAAGAATAGAATCACGTTTTTCCAAAATACACTTTTCCAAGTAAACTTTTCTTTTAGATTCTCGAGAGAAATTTTTTAAAAAATTTAAATTATCCCGGCGCCTCCACCATTTTTTTTTTTGAAAAATTAAAAATTCTTCACATAAGCGTCAACGAGAGCCTATCATGTACAAAATTTTCTCAGTAAGACAAATCTGTAATTATGTTTGCCAGATTTCTGCAAATATTAAAAATAAACCCATTTACACGACAAAAAATAAATTTACCCAGATCAGTTCAAAAATATACCATTTATTTTAGTTTAAATTTATATCAGGTCTGTTATTTGGTCCAGGAGTTTAGAGGTTCAAAGAACGGCATCACGTTTTTCCAAAATATACTTTTCCAAGTAAACTTTTCTTTTAGATTCTCGAGAGAATTTTTTTAAAATTTAAATTGTCCCGGCGCATCCACCACTTTTATACAAAAATTTAAAATTCGTCAAATAAGACTCAACGAGAGCCTATCTTACACAAAATTTTCTCAGAATGGCAAATCTGTAATTATTTTTGCCCTATCTCTGCAAATAATAAAAATTAACCCATTTACATGACAAAAAATAAATTTACCAAGATTGTTTAAAAAATATACCATTTATTTTAGTTTAAATTTATATCAGGTCTGTTATTTCGTCCAGGCGTTTAGAGAATTAAAGAACGGCATCACGTTTTTCCAAAATATACTTTTCCAAGTAAACTTTTCTTCCAGATTCTCGAGAGAAATTTTTATAAAATTTAAATTGTCCCGGCGCCTCAACCATTTTTACACAAAAATTTAAAATTCGTCAAATAAGCCTCAACGAGAGTCTATCTGACAGAACATTTTCTCAGAATGACAAATTTGTAATTATTTTTGCCATATCTCTGCAAATAATAAAAATTAACCCATTTACATGACGAAAAATAAATTTACCAAGATTGTTTAAAAAATATACCATTTATTTTAGTTTAAATTTATATCAGGTCTGTTATTTCGTCCAGTCGTTTAGAGAATTAAAGAACGGCATCACGTTTTTCCAAAATATACTTTTCCAAGTAAACTTTTCTTCCAGATTCTCGAGAGAAATTTTTATAAAATTTAAATTGTCCCGGCGCCTCCACCATTTTTACACAAACATTTAAGATTCGACAAATAAGCCTCAACAAGAGCCTATCTAACAGAAAATTTTCTCAAAATGACAAATCTGTATTTATTTTTGCCATATCTCCGCAAATAGTAAAAATAACCTACATTTACATAACAAAAAACAAATTTACCAAGATCGTTTGAAAAATATACCATTTATTTTGGTTAAAACTTATATCAGGTCTGTTATTTCGTCCAGGCGTTTCGAAAATTAAAGAACGGCATCACGCTTTTCCAAAATATACTTTTCCAAGTAAACTTTTCTTTGAGATTCTCGAGAGAAATTTTTAAAAAATTTAAATTGTCCCGGCGCCTCCAAACTTTTTATACAAAATTTTAAAATTCGTCAAATAAGCCTCAACGAAAGTCTATCTTACAGAAAATTTTCTCAAAATGACAAATCTGCAATTATTTTTGCCATATCTCTGCAAATAATAAAAATCAACCCATTTACATGACAAAAAATTAATTTACCAAGATCGTTTCAAAAATTTACCGTTTATTTTAGTTTCAATTCATATCGGGTCTGTTATTTCGTCCAGGCGTTTAGAGAATTGAAGAACAGCATCAGGTTTTTCCAAAATATACGTTTCCAAGTAAACTTTTCTTTTGGATTCTCGAGAGAAATTTTTATCAAATTTAAATTGTCCCGGCGCCTCCACCATTTTTACACAAAAATTTAAAATCCGTCAAATAAGCCTCAACGAGAGTCTAGCTGACAGAACATTTTCTCAGAATGACAAATTTGTAATTATTTTTGCCATATCTCTGCAAATAATAAAAATAAACCCATTTACATGACAAAAAATAAATTTACCAAGGTCGTTTCAAAAATGTATAATTTATTTTAGTTCAAATCTATATTAGTTCTGTTATTTCGTCCAGGCGTTTAGACAATTAAAAAATAGAATCACGTTTTTCCAAAATACACTTTTCCAAGTAAACTTTTCTTTTAGATTCTCGAGAGAAATTTTTTTAAAAATTTAAATTATCCCGACGCCTCCACCATTTTTTTTTAGAAAAATTTAAAATTCTTCACATAAGCGTCAACGAGAGCCTATCATGCACAAAATTTTCTCAGTATGACAAATCTGTAATTATGTTTGCCAGATTTCTGCAAATATTAAAAATAAACCCATTTACACGACAAAAAATAAATTTACCCAGATCAGTTCAAAAATATACCATTTATTTTAGTTTAAATTTATATCAGGTCTGTTATTTGGTCCAGGAGTTTAGAGGTACAAAGAACGGCATCACGTTTTTCCAAAATATACTTTTCCAAGTAAACTTTTCTTTTACATTCTCGAGAGAATTTTTTTTTTAATTTAAATTGTCCCGGCGCATCCACCACTTTTATACAAAAATTTAAAATTCGTCAAATAAGCCTCAACGAGAGCCTACCTTACACAAAATTTTCTCAGAATGGCAAATCTGTAATTATTTTTGCCATATCTCTGCAAATAATAAAAATTAACCCATTTACATGACAAAAAATAAATTTACCAAGATTGTTTAAAAAATATACCATTTATTTTAGTTTAAATTTATATCAGGTCTGTTATTTCGTCCAGGCGTTTAGAGAATTAAAGAACGGCATCACGTTTTTCCAAAATATACTTTTCCAAGTAAACTTTTCTTCCAGATTCTCGAGAGAAATTTTTATAAAATTTAAATTGTCCCGGCGCCTCCACCATTTTTACACAAACATTTAAGATTCGACAAATAAGCCTCAACAAGAGCCTATCTAACAGAAAATTTTCTCAAAATGACAAATCTGTATTTATTTTTGCCATATCTCCGCAAATAGTAAAAATAATCTGCATTTACATAACAAAAAACAAATTTACCAAGATCGTTCGAAAAATATACCATTTATTTTGGTTAAAATTTATATCAGGTCTGTTATTTCGTCCAGGCGTTTCGAAAATTAAAGAACGGCATCACGCTTTTCCAAAATATACTTTTCCAAGTAAACTTTTCTTTGAGATTCTCGAGAGAAATTTTTAAAAAATTTAAATTGTCCCGGCGCCTCCAAACTTTGTATACAAAATTTTAAAATTCGTCAAATAAGCCTCAACGAGAGTCTATCTTACAGAAAATTTTCTCAGAATGACAATTCTGAAATTATTTTTTCCATATCTGTGCAAATAATAAAAATAAACCCATTTAGATGACAAAAAATAAATTTCTCAAGATCGTTTCAAAAATATACCATTTATTTTAGTTTAAATTTATATCAGGTCTAATATTTTGTCCAGGCGTTTAGAAAATTAAAAAACGCCATCACGTTTTTCCAAAATATACTTTTCTAAGTAAACTTTTCGTTTAGATTCTCAAGAGAAATTTTTATAAAATTTAAATTGTCCCGGCGCCTCCACCAATTTTACACAAAAATTTAAAATTCGTCAAATAAGCCTCAACGAGAGTCTGTCTGACAGAAAATTTTCTCAGAATGACAAATTTGTAATTATTTTTGCCATATCTCTGCAAATAATAAAAATAAACCCATTTACATGACAAAAAATAAATTTACCAAGGTCGTTTCAAAAATGTATAATTTATTTTAGTTCAAATCTATATTAGTTCTGTTATTTCGTCCAGGCGTTTAGAGAATTAAAGAATAGAATCACGTTTTTCCAAAATATACTTTTCCAAGTAAACTTTTCTTTTAGATTCTCGACAGGAATTTTTATAAAGTTTAAATTGTCCCGGCGCCTCCACCATTTTTATACAAAAATTTAAAATTCGTCAAATAAGCCTCAACGAGAATCTATATTACAGAAAATTTTCTCAGAATGACAAATCTGCAATTATTTTTGCCATATCTCTGCAAATAATAAAAATAAACCCATTTACATGACAAAAAATAAATTTACCAAGATCGTTTCAAAAATATACCATTTATTTTAGGATAAACTTATATCAAGTCTGTTATTTCGTCCAGGCGTTTATAGAATTAAAGAACGGCATCACGTTTTTCCAAAATATAATTTTCCAAGTATACTTTTCTTTTAGATTCTCAAGGGAAATTTTTAAAATATTTAAATTGACCCGCCGCCTCCACCAATTTTACACAAAAATTTAAAACTTGTCAAATAAGCCTCACCGAGAGTCTACCTTACACAAAGTTTTCTCAGATTGACAAATCTGTAATTATTTTTGCCATATCTCTGCAAATAATAAAAATAAAGCCATTTACATGACAAAAAATAAATTTACCAAGATCGTTTCAAAAATATACCATTTATTTTAGTTCAGATTTATATCAAGTCTGTTATTTCGTCCAGGCGTTAAGAAAATTAAAGAATAGCATCATATTTTTCTCAAATATACTTTTTCAAGTAAACTTTCCTTATAGGTTCTCGAAACACATTTTTATAAAATTTAATCGTCCCGGCGCCTCCACCATTTTTACATACAAATTTCAAGTTGGTCAAATAAGCTTGAATGAGAGTCTACCTTACAGAAAATTTGCCCAGAATGACGAATCTGTGATTATTTTTGCCATATCTTTTTAAATAATAAAAAGAAACCCGTTTACATACTAAAAAATAAAGCAAAACCGTTTCAAAAATATATCATTTATTTAAATTCAAATGTACATCAGTTCTGTTATTTCGTCTAGGCGTTAAGCACATTAAAGAAAGTATACACTTTTCCAAGTAAAATTTTCTCGATGCAGATTTTGATAAAATTTTAGTTATCTCCATCAATTTTGCCAAAAATTAAAAGTGAGTTTTTGTCAGAGCAACAAATTATTATAAGGAAGGTTTAAAATTACTTCAGGGTTGATTATGAAACTGATCATTACTGAGATACTGATTTCTAAAAATACGTGATAAGAAATTTCACCAAACTGAAAAAATATTATGTTAAACTGGTTTCTAAAAAACTACTATTGTGTTATGTAGAGAAGTTTATAAACACGTTATATTAAAAAGTTCATAACAATAAATCTGTTTAATAATGGAGATATTACATTTTGAAAATGTATTGAAAAAATACATTACAAAACATTATATAAATAATCAAAAAAATGTGTCCAATTAATTGTAAAGCGAGTCTACTTTGTAGAAAATTTCCTGGATACTACGAATCTGTGATTATTATTGACATATTTCATTAAATACTGGAGACAAATTCGTTCATGTGCCAAAAATGTAATTTACTAAAAATTCAAACATGAATCATTTACATTGTTGGAATATCCTCAGTTTATTATTTTGTCCATCCATCAAGAAATTTAAAAGAAAAATGTATTTCTATAAGTGGAATGTTCTTTAAGTTCAAAAATTTAATTATCCCGGCGCCTCCACCATTTTCATACAAAAAATAAGTTGGTTGTATAAGCTTCGAAGAGGGTTTATCTTACAAAAAATTGCCTCAAGAGCACGAGTATCTAATTATTTTCTCCATATTTATTTAAAATACCGAGAGAAACCCATGTGCATGCGAGAAATTAAAGCTGAGGGAATCTCTTCAAGAACCGTTACGCAACTTTGTTCAAAATTACGTTCGTTCAAGCATTTTATTCAAATATCAGAATTTATACAGAAAAACATCATTCCTTGCGAATTATATTTTAACATAAAGAGATACTTTCACATTTCTTGATATAATTTGTTACAAAATTAATTCCTTTCCTGGCGCATCCACCATTTTTATTCACAAAATTAAAGCTGAAACATGAAGTGCAAAAATTATTATTTCGACATTTTCGTAAAAAGTTAAAGTTGTTGAAATAAGCTTCAAAGAGTGTTTATCTTACAGAAATTATGTCAGGAACGCGAATATCTAATTATTTTCTCCACATTTCTTTAAAATACGGAGAGAAGGCAAAAACTTAAAGTTGTTGAAATCTTACAAAAAATGCCCGACCGTTAACAACGATTTTTGTAACCAGGTGTCTGGAAAGCACGGCTCTCCTGAAGAAGCTCTACCTCGACTTCAACATCATCACCCGCCTGGACCACAACAGCTTCCTCCACCTCACCTCCTTGGAGCACCTCAGCCTGCAACAAAACAACATCATGTTCGTCAGTAAGAAGGCCTTCGCCGGCCTGCAGAACCTCCAGCAGCTCGACCTCTCCAAGAACCTCATCACCCACCTCCACCCGGGCCAGTTCGCCAACATGCCCCGCCTGCGCGTCGTGGACCTCAGCAGCAACAGCCTCAACTACCTGCCCAAGGACGCCTTCGAGAACACCGTCATCGAGATGCTGGACCTCAGCTTCAACTCGTTCTCGGTCATCCCGAGCCTGAGCTTGTCCGACGTGGGGATAACCCTGCGGCACCTCGCCATCGGGTCCAACAACGTGGAGCACATCGACAGCACCACGTTCCCGGACATCCCGTTCCTGCAGCACCTGGACCTCAGCAACAACAAGCTCACCATCCTGCCCGACAACGTCTTCACGAGTTTGGGGCTGCTGCAAGTGCTCGACTTGAGTTCGAATCCGCTACGTGCCAATTTCAAAGAGCTGTTCCATTACGCGCAAAGTTTGAAGCATCTAAACTTGGCCAATTCCGGAATCACTTCCACACCGCATTTGCCCCTACCCAACCTCGTCCACCTCAATCTCTCGCGCAATCACATCGAAGCCATCAACAAGAACTCGGTCCAGGAATTAGCCAAGTTGAAGTCGATCGATCTGAGCCACAACCAGCTGTTCGAGGTCCCCTCGCACCTCTGGATACACTTACCCAAATTAAAGTCGCTGGATTTGTCTTTCAACCCGATTAAGGAGATAGTGGCGGACAGTTTCTACGGGCTGCAGAACCTCCAAGACTTGAACATCCAAGGCCTGAAGTATCTAGATCGCTTCGAGAGCAAAGGGATCCAGCAAATCCGGATTTTGAGCTCGCTGTCGATGCAAACGTGGCCGAAGATCGAGCACTTCGCCGAACAGTTTTGCAATTTACTGTCGAACTTGCAGCAGCTGAGGATCCTGAAGATACACTTCGTGGAGAGCGTGCTCGACGAGCAGCTTTTGTGCGTCAAGAATAGGAAGATCAGGCATCTGGAGATCACGGGGAGGAGTCTGAAGATGATTGATAGGGACGCGTTCGTGAGGTTCGGGAGGAATCCGGATCTTGTGTTGAAAATAACGGGGACTGAAATTGAGGAACTGCCGGCGGGGTTGTTTTCTAATATGTATAAAGTTTCGTATTTGACGATAGACTTGAGGAATAATATGTTGTCGTATCTGAGTCCGGAGATATTCTACGGGAATGCGACGACTTGGAAGAACGTGGGGACGACTCTCATTTCAGGTATGATCGACGTTAATTAATGACTAACTCCAGTTAATTAAATTAAGTAATGCCGAGGTTTGATCTTGTATTAAGTGAATTAGCAGTTAAACATTTCCCTGTTTGTGAACATCGCAGTGTTTGAATAACGAAATTTTAAAATGTTTATTGAAACGCTAATTCTCATTACTTGCTAGTGAAGGTTTACATTAAATAACTTGATATTTTCAACTTCTGAAGCATTCGTTGATGTTTTTCAGAGCGTAAAGTTATTTTTCTTTACGATTTAGTTGTAAAAAATTTTAATTATCCCGGCGCCTACGCCACTTTTATAAAAACAATTGAAATTGGTCGAATAAGCAAATGCAAACGAGTCTGTCTTAAAGACAATTTTCTCAGGATCACGAGTCTGTGATTATTTTCACTACATCAGTTTAAGTAATGGCGAGACACTTATTTATATGCCAAAAATGAAATTATTTTAGTTCCAACTGTATTTGTTCAGTTATTTTGTCTAGAGATTAAAAAAAAAGTCAATAGAATTTTGTTTAAAGGTCGATACAGATTTTTCTTCACATTTTTTTTTTTAGTTAAACAAGTCTAGAAGGAAATTGATTATATTAAAAAAAAGTAGGAATTATTTTAGTCTAAATCTACATTTGCTGTGTTATTAGCATTAATAAAAGAATACAAAAAGGGCAATTTTTCCAAAATATTTTTTGTAAGGTGTGAGATGTGAGAAATATGAGAAATGTGTGTGATGTGTGAAATGTGTGGAAGCAGAAATGTGAGAAATAGGAAACATGTTGAGAAATGAGAAAAGCAAAAAATCAGAAACGTGAGAAATGTAAAGTGGAAAGGGGAAGGAATGTGTGAAATGGGAACAGGAGAAAATCGAGTAAAATGAGAATGGAAAAGTATGATTAATATGAGAAATGTGAGAAATGAGAAATGTATGAAATGAGAAATGTAAGGAATGAGAAATGTGCAAAATGAGAAACGAGAACAAATCAGAAGAAATGGTTGAGAGAATTGGGGAATATGAAAAATGAGAAAAGAAAAAATGAGAAATTTGAGAAATGAGACATGTGGGAAATGAGAAAGATGCGAAATGAAAAATGTGAGAAATCAGGACCGAGCACTGATGAAAAATGAGAAGAAATGATAAACTAGAGAAAGGAGAATTGAGAGAATTGGTAAACGTTGAAAAATTAGAACTGAGAAACATGAGACATAAGTACCTTGAAAAATGGGAAACATGAGAAATGAGAAAAGTAAGTAACCAAAATTTTATTTTCTTAGAGGGTACGTCATTTGCCAAAATCAGTCGTGAGAAATGAGAACTGGGAAACATGAGAAACGTGAGAAATGGGAACGAGAGAAAATCGAGTACGTGGGAAATGAAAAATTTGAGATATACTTACGTGAAATGAGAAATGAAAAAAAATGGAAAATATAAGAAATAAGAAAAAATGGGAAATGTGAGAAATGGTGAATATAAAAAAGAAGAAATGTGAGAAATGGGAAAGGGAAGAAAAGAAAAATGAGAAGAAATGGGAAATGAGAAAAAAAAAATTGGTAAAATTAAGAAATGATAACTCGGAAGCATGAGAAATATGAAACGAGACAAATGAGAAAATTAACAAACGAGAAATAGGAAATGGGAAAATAAGAAATGAGAAATATGAGAACCGAGATTTCATTTGCCAATTTTGCAAGTACTAGCCCCGCCCACCCACCCGTTATTTTCTTAGAAGGTATTTTAATTGCCAAAATCAGTCTCATCTTAGCAAGTACTAGCCCCGCCCACCCGCCCTCTAATTCTCAGAAGGTACGTCATTTGCCAAAACAATCTTCTCTTAGCAAGTACTAAATAAAGAACTGGAATATGAAAAATAAAGAGGAATCTGAAATGTGAGAAATGAGACAAGTGCGAATTAGGAAACGTGAGAAATGAGAACTTGGAAAGGTGAGAAACAGGAAGCGTGACAAATGGGAAACAAGAGAAATTTAAGAAATGAGAAAGAGAAAAAAAATGAGAAACGCCAGAATTGGAACACGTTAGAAATGGGAACTGGGAAATGAAAAAGATGCAAAATGAAAAATGTGACAAATAAGGAACGAGAACACATGGGAAATGAGACGAAACGAGAAGCAAGAGAAATGAGAAATGCGGGAATTGATAAAAGTGAAAAATGAGAACTGGGAAACGTGAGAAATGCGTACCTTGAAAAATAGGAAACATGAGAAATCAAAATGGAATATAAGAAAGGTGAAAAATGGAAATTGGATAAATGAGAAGAATTGAAAATTTTATGAGAAATGGGAAAAAATGAGAAATATGAGAACCGAGATTTTATTGGTCAAAATCAGTCTTATCTTAGCAAGTACTAGCCCCGCCCACCCACCCGTTATTTTCTTAAAAGATTTTTTAATTGCCAAAATCAATCTCATCTTAGCAAGTACTAGCCCCCGCCCACCCACTCGTTATTTTTTTAGAAGGTATTTTAATTGCCAAATCAGTCTCATCTTAGCAAGTACTAGCCCCGCCCACCCGCCCTTTGTTTTCTTAGAGGGTACGTCATTTGCCAAAATCAGTCTTCTCTTAGCAAGTACTAATATGAAAAAAAAGAGAAATCTGAAATGCGTGAAATGAGACAAGCGCGAATTAGGAAACGTGAGAAATGAGAACTGGGAAATGTGAGAAACAGGAAACGTGACAAATGGGAAACAAGAAAAAGTTAAGAAATGAGAAACAGAAATGGGAAAATGAGAAATGAGAAACGTGAGAAATGGGAACGGGACAAAATGGAATAGGTGGGAAATGAAAAATTTGAGATATATGTGAAATAAGACAAAAGAAATATGAGCAATGAGAAAAAATGAGGAATGTGAGAAAGGGTGACTATAAAAAAGGAGAAATGTGAGAAATGAGAAATGGAAGAAATGGGAAATGAGTATCAATGGGAAATAAGAAAAAGAATTGGTAAAAGTGAGAATTGAAGACTGGAAAACGTGATAAATATGAATCGTGACAAATAAGAAACTTAACAAACGGGAAACAGGAAATGGGAAAATGAGAAATGGGAAATGTAAGGAATGAACAACGAGAACAAACAAGAAAAAATAAGAAATGAAAAGAAAAGCGAGATTAATGGGGAACGCGACAAATCAACTGGGAAACGTGAGAAATGGGAAATGTATGAGAAAAGAAACATTTGTCAGAAACGAGAAAAAAATGGGAAATCTGAGAAATGAGAACTATGAGAAATGAGAAATGCATGGAATGAAAAATGTAAGAAATGAGAAATGTAAGGAATGAGAAATATGCAAAATAATAAACGAGAACAAACCAAAAGAAATAAGAAACGCAAGAAATATGAAACGTATGGTGAAAAATCAGAAGAGAGAAGAAATGAGAAATGTGTGAGAATTAAGAAATATGAGAAATGAGATAAGAAAAAATGAGAAATTTGAAAAGTGAGAAATGAGAAAGATGCGAAATGAAAAATGTGAGAAATAAGGAACGAGAACATATGGGAAATGAGACGAAATTAGAAGCGAGAGAAATGAGAAATGCGGGAATTGATAAACGTGAAAAAGGAGAACTGGGAAACGTGAGAAATGCGTAACTTGAAAAGTAGGAAACATGAAAAATCAAAATGGAATATAAGAAAGGTGAAAAATGGAAATTGGATAAATTACAAGAATTACGTCATTTGCCAAAATCAATGTTCTCTTAGCAAGTACTAACTAAAGAACTGGAATATGAAAAAAAAGATAAATCTGAAATGTGTGTGGGAACTGAGACAAGCGCGAATTAGGAAACATGAGAAATGAGAACTGGGAAACGTGAGAAATGGGAACGGGACAAAATCGAGTAGGTGGGAAATGAAAAATTTGAGACATATGTGAAATAAGACATGAAAAATATGAGAAAAAAAAAAAAGAGAAATGTGAGAAATGGTGACTATAAAAAAGGAGAAATGTGAGAAATGAGAAATGGAAGAAATGGGAAATGAGTATCAATGAGAAATAAGAAAAAGAATTGGTAAAAGTGAGAAATGAAGACTGGAAAACGTGATAAATATCAATCGTGACAAATAAGAAGCTTAACAAACGGGAAACAGGAAATGGGAAAATAAGAAATGGGAAATGTAAGGAATGAACAACGAGAACAAACAAGAAAAAATAAGAAATGAAAAGAAATAAGAGACGCAAGAATTGGAAAGCGTTAGAAATGGGAACTGGGAAACGTAAGAAATAAGCAACACGAAATGGGAAACGTGAGAAATGGAAAATGTGAAAAATCAGAAATGTAAGAAATGAGAAATATGTGCAATGAGAAGAAATGAAAAATGCAAGAAATGGAAACGTGCGAAATGGTGATCATGAAACGTGAGGAATGAGAGAAATGAAAATATGAGCAATGGAAAATGTAGGCAGTAAGAGAAATGTGAGAAGAATTGAGAAATTGTTTTTTTGGAAGTAAACTTTTGTAGGTTCTGTTTAGACATACTTTATTAAAATTATTTTAATACTGTTTTATCAACGTTTCGGGACAAATAGTCCCTTCATCAGGAGATTTATACAGGACAATACCTTGCATTAACACTAGATTAACAAATTTTTTGTGTTTTTACCGTAAAAATTTGTTAAAACCATCAAAATTAGTAATATAACAGATATGTTATCTGAGGAAAGAGAGATATGAGAAATGGGAAACGTGAGAAATGGAAAATGTGAGCACTGAGAAGGGTGAGAAATGCGTAATGAGAGACGTGGGAAATGGGAAAATAAGCATAATTACAGAAAACCATGATTCTTCCAAAATATTTATATTTTTGCAGATAGAATTTCCTTTAAAGTTCATGGTACAGATTTTTTTAATTCTGCAGAAAATTGTCTGAGGATCATGAATGTGTTATTATTTGCGCTACATCACTTTAAATAATGGAGAGACCCTCGTTTATAAGCTTAATATTAATATAGCTTATCAACCAATTGTTTGAAAGATGATTGCACCACCTATTTCCCTATATTCAACATAGCATAGATGTAGAGGATATAAAAAATTTGCCAAAACCCTCGCCAATTCCCGCATAAGAAGCCCAAACTCCGTCAACCGTAAAATTATTAAGTCCACATTCACCACCACTTAGCACCCTTGCTCATCCCACCCCCAGCCGCAGCTCCGCTCCGAGCGCTCCAATCCCGCCACCCCCAACTTGCTGTTTGCTTTGTGTCGAACGTCGTCGAGTGCAAACTTTGACCGTCTCGTCCTCGTTCCAGGTGGCTTAACCATCTCCGAGAACCCCTTCCGGTGCGGCTGCCACCTGGCCTGGCTCGGCCACTGGTTGCGCCGGTGGACGCGGGAGAGCCTGCAGTCGCACAACGCCCCCGTGGAGACGGCGATGCGCATGAACGACATGGTGAAGGAGGCCACGTGCAGCGACGCCGCCACCGGCACCCGCGTCCCCATCGTTCAGCTGCCCCCGGAAGACATGAGCTGCCACGCGAGCGCGCTCAGCGACGCGCCGAACTTGAACAAAATTCCTGTGATGTTCGTTTCCGTATACCTTATGACGTACTTGATCCTGCGTTAGTGACCCAACAGTATTGGACGGACAGTCGGTGTGAAACTACTCTTCCATTTATTTTACGAGATTTTTAATACATCAATTGTTATTTTTTGATATTGTAAATCGTGTACATAATAAATTAATACATATCATGCTCGTATAGAACTAGGGACTTATTTACGATGATTGCTCAAAATGGGAGATGTCAATCAAAATGTGCACACGACTTGTTTCTTAACATTTAGGTATTATAGTGTTTTGTAACGATCAATAAAGTATATAAATTGTTTTATGGGTGATTTGCGATGATCCTGAAATTTCTGCAGGAGGAAGGATTTTTTCTAATGTAGGTAAGTGTATTGGATCAAAAGTTGAGGTTGCGTCTATTAATTCAGCCTCCAAGTAAGTTAACAACGTATATCAATGGTGATCAACACTGATTGTAATCGAGTCATCCATGACAACATATATGTATGTTCTTACCTTAAAATGTGGTGTCCAAAACAACGTCACTGATTATAAATAGGACGTTGTGGATACAAATTCAAATAAATAAAATTATAATACCTTTCCCGATGCTTAACACATAAAAATGTACTGCAGGCTTGACGATTAATTTTTGTAATCAGTTCAACTAGGACACACAACTTAACTTCAAATTCTCACATTTATTTTTTCGCTTTGTTCTAGTTTTCCTTGGTCGTTTTACATTTTCGTCGGAACTGAAAATCTTTATGGTTGAAATGTACTTTCGCAATGGTCAGAATGTGGAAGCTGTTTGGCAGTTTTCTGTTCAGGAGAGTTGGGATGAATTCCGTGAACAATTTCCCAATAACCTTGTGGTTTATGTACATTTCTCGAATATCCTGAAATTCAGTTTCAAAAAACCGAAAGAAGTTTAAAAAAAAAGAAAATCAAATAGAAGGCCTAAATCGAATGGAAATCTAGAAACCATTGAAAATGGTTGACGACGAGGCCCCTATGACATCTACAAGACATTTTACGCAGCAACTGGAATTATCTTAAATTAGTCGATTAGTCCGCATAGGAGTCTGCCATGTGGGAAATTTTCTCAGGATGACGACCCTCTGATTATTTTTATCGTATCGCTCAAAATGGCGAAAAAAACCCATTTATACATATCAGACGACTAAATTTTTTGCCCATAACCTATCCAAAAAATAGGTAATTTATTCTTATTCAGACCTGTGTTTCGATCGATCTAAAAATAGATAACTTTCTTGTTTCAAATCGGCGAAATTTCTGTTACTTCGTATAGATATTTAGATACGAAATAATTTTTTTTTTCTTCTCATGCCTCATTTCTCACATTTCTAATTTATCATTTCTTCTTTTTTTCATTTCTGATTGTTATAATAATATTAATAATAAGAATAATAATAATAGATATATATTGTTCACATTTACCACTTCTAGCATTTTCCATTTGCACGTTTCTCTTTTTTTTTCATTTTTTCTTATGTTTTATTTCACGTTTATCATTTTTCATTTATTCTCATTGTTTCCACAGTTCTCAATGTTTCTCATTTCTCCTTTCCCATTTCTCGCATTTCTGTTTTCTCATCTCCCAGATTTCTTATTTTCCATTTCCCACGTGTCCCATTTCTTACGTCTCTTATTGCTTATTTCTCACGTTTCCCATTTTTCAGGGTTTTTATTTCTGACGTTTCCCATGTCTAACATTTCAAATTTGCACGTTTCTCTTTTCTTCTCGTTTCTCATTTCTTCTCATGTCCCATTTCTCATTTTTTTCATGTCTTATTTCTTCCCATTTCTCATTTCTCGCCATTTCCCACATTTTCCGTTTCTCATATTTCTGAATTTTTATCCTTCATTTCTCATTTCACAAGTTTCTCTTTGCTTCTCAATCCTCATTTCCTCTTTTTTTTTTTTTAATTCTCATTTCGCGGTTCCCACATCTCGTATTTCTGATTTCTTATTTCCCACATTTCTGATTTCTCATTTCTTACTATTCATACTACCCATTTCTCACGGGTCGCATTTCTGCTATTTCACATGTGTCCCATTTTTCACATTTTTGATTGTTTACGTTTCCCATTTCTCACGTTTCTCATTTCGCATGTTTCACATTTCTCAGTTCTTCTCATTTCTTATCGTTTCTCCATTCTTGCGTTTCTCCTTTCCCACATTCCGCATTTCTTCTCTTTCCTTCTTTCTCATTTTTTTGCTTTTCTCAGGGTTTTCACTTCTCACGTGTCTGAACTTTCCCTGAATATTTCCCATTTTTCATATTTCTCATTCCTTGTAATTGTCATTTCTCACATTTCTCGTTTCTCATATTTTTCATTTCTCACATTTGTCACACTTCACATTTCTCATTTCCCACATTTCTCATTTCTCACATTTCTCAAAAAACTCGCATCGGACAAATTTCATCCAATTGCAGTTTACATATAACTATAGGGATATTTTTTATTTAATGGGAAATGTTAAACACGGAAAATTTGAAAAATGAGAAATAAAAAAAAATGAGAGACAGGAAAAAATGAGGTATGAGAAAAAATGTGACAAATGAGAATTGTGAGGAGCGGGAAATGTGAAAAATCGGATGTGGAAAAATAGGAGATTAGAAACATGAACATGAGAAAGTTAATAAATAAAGAAACTTGAGAAATAAGAAACCTGGAAAATGGGAAACGTAAGAAATGTGATACGTGGGAAATGAAAAACAAAGTACATATGAGCAATAAAAAAATGGGAAGAAATGGAAAAAATCGTGAAATCAGAAATGTAAGAAATTGGAAACAGAAATGTGAAATGAGGAGAGTAAGATATAGGAAACAGCGTGTGGGAAATGAAAAATGAGAAAAGTGAGAGTGGGAAACGTGAGAAATGAAAAACGAAAAAAAATGAGAAATGGGAAATATGATAAATCGGATGTGGAAAAATTGGGAGATTAGAAATGTGAACAATGAACATGAGAAAATTAAGAAATAAAGAAGCTTGAGAAATGAGAAACCTGGGAAATGAGAAATGTGAGAAATTGGAAACACAAATGTGAAATGAGAAGAAAGGCGAAATGGAAAATGTGGGATATAGGAAACAGAATGTGGGAAATTAAAAATAAGGAAAGTGAAAAGTATGATACGTGAGAAATGAAAAACGAAAAAAAAAAGAGAAATGGGAAAAATGTGAGAAATTAATGAGAAATGTTAGAAACGGAAAATGTGAAAAATGATAAATGGGAAATGTGATAAATCGGATGTAAAAAAAGTAGGGGATTAGAAACATGAACATGGGAAAGTTAAGAAATAAAGAAACTTGAGAAATGAGAAATCTGGAAAATGGGAAATGAGAAAATCGCGAAATTTGGAAATGTGAGAAATTGGACACAGAAATGTGAGATATAGGGTACAGAATGTGGGAAATAAAAAATGAGGAAAGTGAGAAATGAGAAATTAATGAGAAATGTTAGAAACGGGAAATGTGGAAAATGAGGAATGGGAAATGTGATAAACCGGATGTGGAAAAAGTGGGAGATCAAAAATGTGAACATGAGAAAATTAAGAAATAAAGAAACTTGAGAAAGGGACACGTGAGAAATGAAAAACAAAGTTCGATAAATAAAAAATGAGAAGAAATGGGGAATTTGAGAAAAAAATAATGTGAAAAATGAGAAATGAGAAACGTGAGATATAGGGAACAGAATGTGGGAAATGAAAAATGAAAAAAAATATATAATTGGGGGAAATGTGAGAAATTAATGAGAAATGTTAGAAACGGAAAATGTGAAAAATGGGAAATGGAAAATGTGATAAATCGCATGTGGAAAAGGTAGGAGATTAGAAAAATGAATATAAGAAACTTGCGAAAGAGAAACCTGGGAAATGGGAAACGTGAGAAATGAGAAACAAAAAATGAGAAAAAATGAAAAACTTGAGAAGAGTAGTGTAAATAATGAGAAAGGAGAAAATTGTGAAATGTGAGAAATTGGAAACAGAAATGTGAAATGTGAGGAGAGGCGGAATGGAAAATGTGAAATATGGGGAACAGAATATGTGAAATGAAAAATGAGAAGTGGGAAACGTGAGAAATGAAAAACCAAAAAAATGAGAAATGGGAGAAATGTGAGATATTAATATGAAATGCTGGAAACGGAAAACGTGAAAAATGAGAAATGGGAAATGTGATAAACCGGATGTGGGAAAAAGTGGGAGATTAGAAATGTGAACATGAGAAAATTACGAAATAAAGAAACTTGAGAAATGGGCAACCTGGGAAAGGGGTAACTTGAGAAATGAAAAACAAAGTATGAGAAATGAAAAATGAGAAGAAATGAGAAATTTGAGAAAACAGTAATGTGAAAAATGAGAAATGAGAAACCTGGGAAATGAGAAATGTGAGAAATTGGAAACACAAATGTGAAATGAGAAGAAAGGCGAAATGGAAAATGTGAGATATAGGGAACATAATGAGAAAAGTGAGAAGTGAGAAACGTGAGAAATGAAAAACGAAAAAAAAATGAGAAGGAGGAAATGTGAGAAATTAATGAGAAATGTTAGAAACGGGAAATGTGAAAAATGAGAAATGGGAAATGTAATAAATCGGATGTAAAAAAAGTAGGGGATTAGAAACAAGAACATGGGAGAGTTAAGAAATAGAGAAACTTGAGAAATGAGAAATCTGGAAAATGGGAAACGTAAGAAATGTGATACGTGAGAAATGAGAAACAAAAAATTAGAAGAAATGTGAAACTTGAAAAAAAAAAAGTAATGTAAAAAATGAGAAAAGAGAAAATTGTGACATATGAGATATTGGAAACAGAAATGTGAAATGAGAAGAGAGGCGAAATGGAAAATGTGAGATATGGAGTACAGAATGTGGGAAATAAAAAATGAGAAAAGTGAGAATTGGGAAACGTCAGAAATGAAAAACCAAAAAAAAAGAGAAACGGGCTAAATGTGAAATATTAATGAGAAAATGCTGGAAACGGGAAATGTGAACATGAGAAAATTAAGAAATAAAGAATCTTGAGAAATAGGTAACCTGGGAAATGGGTAACTTGACAAACGAAAAACAAAGTATGAGAAATAAAAAATGAGAACAAATGAGAAATTTGAGAAAAGAGTAATTTGAAAAATGAGAAATGAGAAAATCGGGAAAGGAGAAACGTGAGAAATTGGAAGCACAAATGTGAAATGAGAAGAGAGGCGAAATGGGAAATGTAATATATAGGGAACATAATGAGAAAAGTGAGAAGTAGGAAACGTGAAAAATGGAAAACTAAAAGAAAGGAGAAAAGAAACAGGAGAAATGACTAAGTAATCTAAGAAATGATGAGAATTGTGAGAAATGAGAAATTAGAGAAATGAAAAACCTCAGAAAATATAAGTAACGGAAAATATGTGAAATGGGAAATAACAATTGTGAGAAATGAAAAATGACAAGCGTGCAAATAAGAAATGTTAGAAATGGGAAATATGAGAACGTGAGAAATGAGAAATGTGACAAATGTGACATGTGATCCTGCAGGATACGTTAACTATTTAATACACATAAAATTAAAAAAAAAAAATGGGGGTTTAAATTAAAAAAAAAACATATACATCGCAGCCTTCATTTATACAACGGAGCCAAAACTGACGGATAAGCTCGATGTTACGTTGTTAAAAAATTCTAAAGAACTCTAAAAAAAAAAGGTTTAAAAAAGCCTGAACCAAATTTCTGAAAACATTAAACTTCCAAACAGAAGAATTAACTTCATAATTCTGATTTGTTTTAATGAACTACATGTCTAATAAACAGTTAAATAATTAGTTATTAATAATTTAATACTCCTAATAATTTGCTAGAATACGATTCACAACCTCAATTTTACTGTTGCAGATGTTATTTTAGACAATTTTATTGGAATTTTAGACTGTCAATTAAATTCACATTAAAACATATCAAAATTATAAAGTGAATACTTAAATTTTCAACATACCATTGATTTTGATCAACTGTATAAAAAACTTTAAAACTGGATAATTAGTTCGAATGGTGTCTATCCTACGAGGAATTTTCTCAAGATAACGAAATTGTGATTATTTTCGCCATATCCAATCAACATAAAATAGCTAAGAAAACCTTATTTATAGAAAAAGCAAATGTTAGGAAATTGATCTGAAAATGAATCATTTATTATAGCTCAAATCTATATTTGTTCAAATATTTTGTTCCAGTCTTAGGATATACCGGGACATTTTTTAGCTCTGAACATACATCATAAAGTCCTATGTTCAGTTAAAAAAAGAAACACCAATGCATTGGAAATATGCAATCAATGTTACGTAAAAAATACAAACCTGATTTCGTAGACCAAAAAATACCAAAGTAAGTAGTTAAAAATCTGGGATAATTAGAAGCATCAAAAATATAAAACACAAATACAGAAAAGTTTTAGTAACCTTTCTTAATTACAGAGTCAAGACAAAATCGCTTCTAACTGTTCAACATTTGGAAAAAATGTACAGAACAAGCTTTGGTGGGAAAAAAATTAAAATACGTAGACTAAAGAAAAACCATTATTTAATAAACCCCTTCATTATATATACGGCGAAATGCAGGCCCGCAGTGACCTTTCAGTCGCATTCGTAGCGAAAATACCTCACACACTCCCCTGCACAATCTACCATTATTCACTCTGAACGATAATTTATTTAACTAACTGTAATTAATTACGTGCTGCACATTTTTATTCAAGACAGTGGATTTAACAGCGCTTGCAACAAAGAACAAAGTAATAAAAGATTTCCAACAAACACCTACCTCGCTACTTCTAGGACCCGGAGGCACGTCCGGAATAAATTCCTCATCAGAGCGATTCCGCTTCTTACGTAGGTGTATACACTTTCGACTATTAAGACTTGGCAGTCTTGTTCTTACGCTGACCATGCAACGTTAAAGAAACTGCGCTCTAAAGCACTTTGCTCGAGATTTTTTTATTTCCCCATACTTGAAAGGAGTTGTGATCTATAGCCAGCTGAACCGTAAACAATTTAGGGTTTCTAAAACTTGGACATAAATCTCTTACAATGAAACTCTTTGTAGATGTTGAAGAAGGAGAGCGGCGGTTTGTATTTAGTCCGAAAAACCTGGATAATTACTAATTAGATAGGTTTAATAGAAACTTATATGTATTTTAAATAAGTCTCACGGAATGACAAGTGTATTGTGTGTTGCCTGCCTACAAATAATGTGCATAGACTTTAAATATGGCTAGTTCATTAATGGAAGTGATCGTCTTAGAATCCTTTTATTATTAATATAATTTTATTATTAATATAATTTTAATTTTTAAACATAAAAATAGAATTATCACTGTGAAATATCAAATCAAGTTATTTAGTTTCACATTTTAGTGTTGGCCAACCTGCGACGCGCGTCAAACACCAAAACGTCAAACTACAAATTTAAAATATAAAACGACCGTTTCAAAAATAATGTTGATTTATATTTGTTTATGATGGATATAGACAAAGTAGAAGTTTCCAACGTATCAGAAATATTCGATTTAATACAACTGAGTTCCGCATGTCATTTAAAGTACGCCCTTAAAGTCAAAAAATCGATCGAAACCGTAAGTTAACCTCAAAATTTTGTTGCATTAAAATTAATAAATATTCGTAGGAGCCTGACGGTGAGCTGCTACCACTAATCTATAAATGGCTACAATACGCCTTTTTGGTCGATTTAAAAGAAAAAAATGTTTACTTGGACAGAATAATAAATTTCACTGTTACACTAGCGACTTCCTTTAAGTGCCGACAAGACCGACAAGAGAGCGACGAATCTGTGCAAATACACCCCATTTTAACCAACATATTTAACTTTATTTTGGAAGTAAGCACCCAGATGTGGTTGGATAATAATCCAGTGATTATTTCAGCTTTCAAACTCTACTGTTGAATCCCATCGGTACTGGTCATGCACTTTATTTAACAGAATTTTCAAAGAATTGGAGGAATTGACGGAGGAACTGTATGAAAATATCACCGAGTCTATGTTGAAAAGACTAAAAGTGGGTGCACTTAATCGCTATTAATAAGAATTAATTAAATTTTTAATAGGATGGGAAAGCTGCCATTCGATGTCAAGCTATTGTTGCCCTACACCGTCTACAAGACCCCACTGACAAACAAGACCCTATTATTTCCGAATTTTGCGAACTCCTTGATTCAGATTTTAACGCCAGGGTCTGTAAATTAATTTCGCAAAACAATTATAATTATTTCTTTAACAGGTACGCCAACTTTGCGTGGAAAAACTAGCTCTGAACAAAGAATCAATTCTTTTTGTGATCAATCGCACCCGCGATGTAGACGCCAACGTGCGGCTAAGCGCATTCGAAAAATTAAAATCGGTCGCGAAGTATTTAAAAGTCACCCAAAAACGCGATGTTTTGCAATGCGGACTTTATGATTCTTCAGAAAAAATTAAAAAATTTACAACTACAGTGTTATTACAATACTGGCTAGAGAGCTATGATGATGATTATTTGAAGCTAATAGAATCAATTAGGTTAGACGCTTGTGAGGAAGATATTAGAATCACAGTTCACTTGGTTGAACAAATACTGAAAGCTTTATTCAAGTAAGTAAAAACTACCTAAAAAAATCAAAAGTCTTGTAATAATTTATAGATCAGCGTCTCTAGATAGTATAGTTCAACATATTAACGTGAATGACGAAAAAATAATTTTGTATGAAAATCTGACCTGGGAAATTGTGTTGTACTACAGGATTGTTGTACAGTTTTTGCGACAATCGCAGGATTTTGAAGACGCTTTAAATAATATTTTGCCTGAACTTGTACATTTTTGTAGATATATAAAAGGGTATGTTAATAAAACAAAATAATAAGCTGCCACCTTTAAGCCACAAACAGTGGCGTTTACACAATTTCAACATGTTTCTGCTTGTAGATATTGCGACTTTATGAAGCAGAATGAGCATTTTTACGAATTACAGTACGAATTTACCCTACAACAGTTCTTTCTCATTACTCTAACGTACGATGTCAGTGATACCGCCAGCAGACGGTGTCTAAATTCACTAGCACACTCTCTACTACAAAACGAAGATATGTCTGCAGATCTCGCCGAATTAGTAATGCGTAATCTTGAAAAAGTCATCCCTAATGTTAACGACAGATCAGTTTTTGTGTGTGAAATGATTTCTAACATTATGTACAGTGATGAACTCGGCGACTATGAGGAACTAGAAAGAAAAGAAAAAGAGAAGAAGCATGCCGTGAGATAATCTCGATTATTACATACGTGCGATTATAGTTTCTAAATTGTAGATATCACAACTGCAATCAGACATAATTTCGTTACAAGAACAAGAAAACCGCTTGGTTCACGTGGAAAGAAATTTTATTGAAGCCGAGCGCGTGAAACAAGAAATAGAAACCAATGAAGCCCTTTTACAGGACTTAAGATCAGTTCAGGAAAAACCGGAGCCTGTGGAGAAAAAAACAGACGCTAAGACGATGTTGAAGTGTTTGAATATAGCAGAAGCTTTGTTGCGCTCGCCGACTATTAGAAAATTTAATCCGGCGATAGCTACGTTGAACAATGAAGTTATAAATCAGGCTCTAGTTCACGAGGATGATTTTGTTAAATTGAGGGCGCTCAAATGTTATGCTTTGTGTTGTGTTATTGACTACAGGACTGCTCGTTATGGTGTTCATTTATTTTCTGGTTTAGTAAGTTTTGGTTTTTTTTTTTTGGGTTGGTTTTATTTCGTTGAGTTTAGATGTTCACGCCTGATACGGACGCCGAAGTTTTAATAATTAGTCTGAAGGTTATTGTGGATCTTTTGACCATTTATGGGCTTGCTTTGGTGGAGAAGAACGAAGATGAGGAGGAAGAGGCGTCGGATAGTAGACGCGAGGAGGAAAAGAAGATTTTTTTAGGGGGGACTTCTTTGACTGATTTGATTCAAGCGCTCGCCGATCATTTAGAACACGAGGTTTGTTTTATATGTACGTTTTTTGGAAAAAAATGTTGGTGGAAATCCCGCTTTTTTGAAAAACTCAAAAATTTTTGCGATTTTTGTTCTCTATAAAGTTAAAACCAGTTGGCGTAAATAAGACTCCCGCAGCTTTTTTGACTTGAAACTTTGTATATTCAATTTTTTGTTTTGTTCTTTTTTTCAGTTTTTGAATTTTCCAAAATTTTGAGTCTTTCAGTTTTTAAATTTGGCCATTTTTAATTTTTTTTTGTTTCTTCAAGTTTCACAAATTTTCAATTTTTCATTTCTCCAATTGGTTTATGTTTTTTATTATCTTAATTTTTTTAATTTTTTCGTTTTTCCGTGTTCTAATTTTATAATTTTTCTTTTTTTTAAGTGAAATTTTTCAATTTTTCGATTTATTAACTTTTACATTTTTTTTTAAGTTAGATTTTTAAGTTTCATGATTTTTCTTTTTTTCATTGCTTCAAATTTTGATTTGCAATGTTTCTAGTTTTCTGTTTAAATTTTTCACTTTTTCATTTATTCGATTTTTCAATTTCTGGGTATTTACTTTTTTAATTTTTCGATCTTTTAGTGTTACAGTTTTTCGATTTTACAATTTTCTGATTTTCCAATTTTTCGATTCGATTCAGATTTTCTTCTTTCCAATTTTTCGATTTTTAGTTTTTCAATGCTTGAGTTTTTCGTTTCTTTCAGTTCTTCGCTTTACAATTTGCAATTTTCCACCTTCCAGATTTTGCGATTTTCCTTTTTTTCAGTTTTTAGATTTTTTAACTTTCTAAGTTAAAAAAGTGGAGAATTATAAAATTGTAATGTTTAAAAATAACTGAAAAATCGAAAATGAAAAACGAAAAAAGATGAAATGAAAATTTTGAAAAAAGTTGCAAATCATAAACTTAGGATTAAAAATTGAGGAACTTAAAAAACAAAAGTGCAAAATTGAAAAAGGAAAAATGCGTTGTAAAATCGAAATGATAAAAATCAAAGAAATCGGAAAATCGAAGAATTGAAAAATCGAATGCTGCAAAATTTGAAACATTGAATAAACGAAAACTCGTGATATAAAATCGAGAAAATAAAAATTAAAGAATCGGGAAAATGAAAAACAAAAATTGAGAAACTGCACTTTCACTGAGTTTTCAATTTTTAGTTATTGAATTTTTCGATTTACAATTTTTCATTGCAGTTTTTTATTTTCTTTATTTTTTCAGTTTCTCGTTTCTTTCATTTTTCTTTTTTTTCAATTGTTCACTTTTTCAATTTTTTTTTGTTTCTTCAGTTTTTCGATTTGCAATTTTTCGAGTTTTCAAGTTTAAATTTTTCAGTTTTTGAATTTTCCAAAATTTTGAATCTTTCAAATTTTTAGATTTTGTAATTTTTCGTTTTGGTTTTTATTTTCTTTATTTTTCAAACATTCGATTTTTTCGTTTCTTCATTTTTCGATTTTTTATTTTTTGTTTCCTCAATTTTGCGAGTTCTCGTTTTAAATTTTTCAGTTTTTCGATTTTCCAACTTTTGGATGGAATTTTTAGATTTGCAGTTTTACGAGTTCTTCAATTTTTCATATTTTTTTTCAATTTTTCGATTTTTTTAACTTGTACTTTTTTGTCAGTTTTCGATTTTTAAGTTTGATAATTTTTCATTTATACGATTTTAGAATTTTCGGATTTTCCAATTTTTCGATTCGATTCAATTTTCTTCTTTCCAATTTTTCAATTAATTTTTTTTTCAATTTTCAAGTTTCTCCATTTTTAGTTTTTCGATGCTTCAATTTTTCTTTAACTCTGAGTAAAAAAAATGAAAAATTATAAAATTGAAAAATCAAAAATGCAAAATCGAAAAATTATAAAAAAAAAAATAAAAAAAAACTGAAAATTGGAATTTTTGAATTTATCCATTTTTCATTCAACAACTCTTCAAATTTTAATTTTTAACTTTTTCAGTCTTTCAATTTACCAACTTTTGGTTGTTTCCATTTTTGGTTTCTTCATTTTTTCGATTTTTAATTTTTTGTTTCTTCAATTTTGCGAGTTTGTTTTTAAATTTTTGAGATTTTTCGATTTTCCAACTTTTGGATGGAATTTTTAGATTTGCAGTTTTACTAGTTTTCAGATTTTGCAATTTTTCAATTTGGAATTTCACGAGTTTTCAATTTTCCCGTTTTTCCATGTTGTAATTTTATAATTTTTTTTTTTAAGTGAAATTTATCATTGGGATTTTTCAATTTTTCGATTTTTTTAACTTGTACTTTTTTCAGTTTTCGATTTTTAAGTTTGATGATTTTTCGTGTATTCGATTTTAGAATTTTCGGATTTTCCAATTTTTCGATTCGATTGATGTTTTCTTCTTTCCAATTTTTCAATTTTTACGTTTCTCCGTTTTCAGTTTTACAATGCTTCAATTTTTCTTTAACTTTCTGAGTAAAAAAAATAGAAAAATTATAAAATTGTAAAATTGAAAAATCAAAAATGAAAAAACGAACAAGTATAAAATGGAAATTTATAAAAATCTAAAAATTGGAATTTTCAATTTATCCATTTTTCATTTCTTTTTTTTTTCAATTTCACGACAAATAACTCTTCAAATTTTAATTTCTAACTTTTTCAGTTTTTCAATTTTCCAATTTGTGGACGTTTCAGTTTTTAGATTTTGTAATTTTTCAATTTGGAGTTTCACGAGTTTTCAATTTTCAATTTTTACGTTTTTCCGTGTTCTAATTTTATAATTTGTCCCTTTTTTAAGTGAAATTTTTCAAGTTTGGGATTTTTCACTTTTTAGATTTTTGAACGTTTACAGTTTCTTTTTTTCAATTTTAGATTTTTAAGTTTCATGATTTTTCATTTTTTCATTTCTTCAAATATTGATTTCCAATTTTTCTGTTTTTATAAACCTAATAATAATTTCTAAAATTTTTCACTTTTTCATTTATTCGATTTTTTCGAACCTTCAGTGTTCCAATTTTTCGATTTCACAATTTTCGGATTTTACAATTTTTCAATTCGATTCATATTTTCTTTTTTTCAATTTTTCGGTTTTTTATGTTCTTTATTTTTACAATTTTTCGATTTTCCGATTTTATAATACTTTTTTTTCAATTTCAGTATTTTCAATTTTTCGTTTTATTTTCATTATTTTTTCATATTTTCGTTCGTTCCATTTTTCTTTTTTTTTCACCTCTTCAATTTTTAATTTTTTTTTTTGTTTCTTTTTCAAGTTTAAATTTTTCAGTTTTTGAATTTTCCAAAATTTTGAATCTTTCAATTTTAAGATGTTACAATTTTTCGTGTCGGGTTTTATTTTCTTTATTTTTTTTCAATTTTGCCAGCTTTCATTTTTAAATTTTTCAGTGTTTTCGATTTTCCAACTTTTCGATGTTTCAATCTTTCAGTTTTTATTTCTTGAATTTTTTATGTTGTTTATTTTTACAATTTATTTTATAATACTTTTTTTTTCAATGTCAGTTTTTTCAATTTTTCGTTTCTTCAGTTTTCATAATACAGTTTCACGAATTTTTAGATCTTAAATTATTGAATTTTTAGATTTGAAATTTTTCGTTTTAGTTTTTTATTGTCTTTATTTTTTCAGTTTTTCGTTTCTTCCATTTTTCTTTTTTTTTTTTTAATTGTTCAATTGTTTTATTTTTATTTTGATTTTTCAGTTTTTCGATTTGCAATTTTTCGAGTTTTCGAGTATTTAGTTTTTGAATTTTACGAAATTTTTTAATGTTGCAATTTTTAGATTTCGCAATTTTTCATTTCGGTTTTTAATTTTTCAATTACTCAATTTTTCGTTTCTTCGATTTTTCGATTTGCAGTTTTTCGATTTTTAATTTTTTTATTTCTTCAATTTTGAGTTTTCATTTTTAAATTTGTCAGTTTTTTTCAATTTTCTAACTTTTGGATGTTTCAATTTTTAGATTTGCAATTTCAGGAGTTTTCAATTTTCAACCTTGCCATTTTTCGATTCTTCAAATTTTCATTGAGGTTTTTTTTTTCTTTATTTTTTCAATTTATCAATTTTTCTTTTTTTTTCAATTTTACGGCAAACAACTCTTCAAATTTTCATTTTTAACTTTTTCAATGTTTATATTTTATAATTTTTTCTTTTTTCAATTTTTCAGTTTTCCATTCTTGAATTTTTCGGTTTTTTATGTTCGTTATTTTTACAATTTTTCGATTAGCAATTTTTTAATTTTAAAGTTTTTTCACGTTTTAGAACTGGAGTGTCACGAGTTTTCAATGTTTAATTATTGAATTTTTCGATTTGCAATTTTTCGTTTCGGTTTTTTATTTTCTTTGTTTTTTCAGTTTTTCATTTTTTCCATTTTTCTGTTTACTTTGTTTCTTTAACTTTACGAACGCAACTCTTCGTGTTTTCATTTTAAAATTTTTCATTATTTCGATTTGCAATTTTTCAATTTGGAATTTCAGGAGTTTTCAATTTTCAATTTTTTCATTTTTCCTTATTATAATTATATAATTTTTAATTTTTTTTTTAATGAAATTGTTCAACTTTGGAATCTTTTTTTTTATTTTTTAACGTTTGCTTTTTTTTCAATTTTTAAGTTTCATGATTTTTAATTTTTTAATTTATTTTTCGTTAAGATTTATATTCTCCAATTTTTCGTTTCTTCGGTTCTTTGCTTTGCACTTTTTCGTTTTTTCAGTTTTTCGGTTTTTAAAATTTCGATTTTTTAATGTTCAAAATAACAAAAATGCAAAAATTGTAAAATTGAAAAACCAAAAAAGAAAAAGTAGGTATACAATGAAAATTTTTAAAAATATAAAAATTGGAAATCAAGAACTTGGAAAAATTGTAGAAACGAAAATTGAAAAATCGAAAAGGTGCAAAATTGAAAAAAGGAAAAATGCATCGTAAAATCGAAATGATGAAAATCAAAGAAATCGGGAAATCGAAAAAACAATTTTGTAAATTTTGGTCAGCGTTTTACCACCTACATGATATTCCCAATATATATTTTCGTACAATTATTTATTACAAAAATTCAAGGACCCCCAAGTTCAAGTCACGGCGACAACAGGGGTCTGTATATTACTCCAATACGAGCGGATAACTTCGTCATCACTCTTGTCCCGAATTATTATCAAATGGGCAAACCCGGCAACAGGTTCGACACACACCATAATTTTCCCATTAACATTAACGCTATTTCAGACAACGAAAGACTAAAACAATTCATCGGCTTATCCCTAAACGCTCTAACGCGTTTATCAAACTGCCACACTTACTTCGACGACGCCGTTCTAAACACCATTCGAACCTTGGTCTACGCGCCAAGAACAAGCGCTTTGAAAGACATAGACTTGGATAACACAGTAAAATTCATGGTAACACTATGTGCCATGCCACGACAGGTAGGTAACAAAAAAAATTGTATGATAAAATTCAACAACACATATTTCAGGGTAAACAAATCCACAGCAACTTAGCGTTCAAAATATGCAACCAAATGCGCGAAAAACCACGTCACAAAGTCAATTTGTATTTCTCAAAGGTGCTCGTTTTGTTAGTTGTTCCAGAAAATTCAGCTCGTGACGAGTTGCTGTCCATCTGTGATGAACTGAGAGACGTCATTCAAGACAAGACAACACTTAAAAACATAAACAAATTTAATACTAATTTGAGTAAGAGTTTAGTGAAGCTGCAGCCTGTGGAGGAAGAAGGTGCAATTAATTAAGATAAACGTTCTATTAAGGTCATTTATACACAATTCAGATTTTTTTAAATAAAGATTTATTTTATTACATCAGTAAATTCCCACAGGTGGTGGACCCCCAAAAACACAGTTCCACGAACTGGGGAATTTTATATCATTTAAACTACAAGTAGAAAGGTTGTCAAGAAATTTGTTCAAAACGTCTACAGTGGCAATAGCGTCTGGTCTATTATCACCCTCAGACACATATTTAATTAAAACTATACACTCAAAACTGTCTGCCAGAGTTTCATATAGCTTCACTGCAAATCCAGAGCCGTGGACAAGGTATTTTCCATTGAACTCCGCTTCTTTTATTTGTACATGAATACTCTTCATAAGTTCACCCACATCTTGATTACTAATGTAATAAAATTTGTTATTGCTCACAACGTGCAGCTCATAATCAAACGAACTCGTCAGGATAACGACACTTTTTAGTTTAAATCGTAACAGGGCTTGTTTTAGGTCGTCAAAAAATTTCGTTGCGAGTTTAAAGTCAATTGTAGATCGTAGCTGCAGCAGTGCCAGTTTTAAATCTTCTTTGACGTACAATTCACAAGCTGTACATATCTCTGGTCCGTTTACTTCATACGGGTCTGGTCCAACCGAAGAAACAATACCAGGGTGCCACACAGTAGCCCCTTTTTTGAAACCCAAAGACGCTATTAGTAAGTCTACGGTAAGTTGTGGCACGTTTCCGACAGACACACTGGGCACAATTAAGGTAAAACCTTCCAAATTGGTGTTTTCTTTGAAATTAAATAGTTCTGTCATTGTGAATTTCGCACTAGTTGGATTACACTTATCGCATTTAAATAACAGCGGTGACATGCATTATTATTTACAAAATAAGTGAGGTTATGTCAATAGTGTGGCGGGAAATTTGAATTGAATTATCGGGATCTAAATAGGCGAAAAATTTATTGTTTATAGAATTACTATTTACTAACACGAAATGCGAACTTAGTTCTTATGCATGTACAAAAATCATTCGATCACTATTACGTCGTCGTCCGACGAGGGTTTCCGTTCGGGTTTTTTCAGAACGCTGAGAGACAAGGGTAAGTTTGGTGGTAGATTTACTTCCGCTGCGGGTTTTGTGGGTTTGTGGATGGGTTCCTTCCTGTGTAGGTTCACGGCTTCCATAGTTTTGTATGGTTGGGTGACTGGGATCTATAATGAGAAGTAATAAGATGTCTAGAGTGGTGTGGTGTAAGTCTATCTGTACCCAATCACTACTCACTTAAAAAAAATTTTCTTAATGTTACAGAGAGAAGAAAGAGATAAATTAAAAATGCATGCAAGACTGACGATGAAATGAAGAACAGGTGACAGTGATGACGCTTTTGTGAAAAAAAAATCAAATTTTGTATCATTTAATTGTGAAAAAAGTCGTCTGGAAACCATTGGAATTTAATGTTAAAACATTATGTTGGCAACAATGCGTTCCTTGTTTGGTTTGACAGTTACGGTCAAATTGCTGCCATGCCAACATAATTATTACAAAAAAATAAATGGTTGAAAGTTATTTCGACAGAACTTCCCTCGTCCCTAAAGTCCAGCCCAATAAATCCCGCTTCTTTAAAAAAATGTTTGATTTTTGTTTTGTGATAGCCTCTATAAAAAAATAACACTCCCACAGCCTTTTTTTAGTTGAATTTTTCAATTTTTCCCTTTGTTCTTTGTTTCTTCAGTTTTTCGATTTAAGTTTTCAATTGTTTGATCTGCAATTTTTCATTTCTGTTTTTTATTTACAGTTATTCGATTTTTCAACGTTTAGATATTATAATTTTTTGTTTTTTCAATTTTTTGTTTTCGTTTCGATTTTTTATTCTCTTGTATTTTTTCAACTTTTCATTTTTATTGTTCCTTCAGTTTTACGACACACAAAAACACTGAAAGAGTTTTCATTTTAAAATTTTTCAGCTTCTCGGTTTTCATTTTTGAATATTTCAGCTTTTAGAATTGCAGTTTCACTAGTTTTCGATTTTTAATTTCATTATTTTTTTCGGTTCATGATTTTTCAATTTTTCGTTACTTCAGTTTTTCGATTTGCGATTTATCTATTGTTCGTTTTTTTTTGTTTCTTTAGTTTTTGGATTTGCGAGTTTTGAAGTTTCAAGTTCAAATTTTTCGATTTTTCTATTTGCCAAAGTTTGATTTTTAAATTTTTCGATTTGCGATTTTTCAATTTAATATTCCTCGAAATTGCAATTTTTCTAGTTTTTATTTTAAATATATAATATCAATAATTACAAAAAAATTTAACTTTTTCAATCATATGATTTTTATATTTTTCTATTTTTCAATTATTAGATTTTAAAACTTTTTCATTTATTCGACTTTTCAATTTTTCGATTTTTAATTTTTCAATTTTTAGATTTTTCAATTTTGCATTTCTTCAAATTTTCGTTTCGGCTTTTTATTTTATTTGTTTTTTCAATTTTTGGATTTGCAATCAATTTTTCGTTTTTGCATTTTTAGATTTTTCAGTTTCATGATTTCTCAATTAATCATACGATTTTTATATTCTTTATACATATTTTCAATTTTTCGTTTCTTCAATCTTTCAATTTGCAATTTTTCGTTTTTAAGTTTTTCAGTTTTTCGATTTTCCAACTTTTGGATGTCTCAATTTTTAAAAATTTCGATTTTTTTATTTGCTTCACGAGTTTTCAATTTATCATTTCTTCAATTTTTCAGCTTTTCAATGTTATATTTCCTTTTTCTCAATGTGAAATTTTTCAATTTTAGGATTTTTCAATTTTTCACCTTTTAGATTTTTAATTTTTTTGTTTTTTCAATTTTAGAATTTTCAGTTTCATTTTTAAATTTTTCGTTGCTTTAATTTTTGATTTGCAATTTTTCTGGTTTTGATTTTAAATGTATAATAATTATAACTAAAAAAAAATCATTTTTGAATTTTATAATTTTAGGATTTATTCATTTTTCGATTATTATTAGATGATTTTAAAACTTTTCCGTGTATTTGATTTTTCAATTTTTCGATTTTTAATTTTTCAATTTTTTAATTCTTCAATTTTGCATTTCTTCAAATTCTCAATTTGCAATATTTTGTTTCGGTTTTTTATTTTCAAAAAAAATTAAGAGTTTTTATTTTGTAAAATTTTTCAGTTTTTCGAGTTTCCAACTTTTGGATGTTTTAGTTTTTAGATTTTGCAATTTGCCAAGTTTTCAATTTTTAATTTTTCAATTTTTGGATTTGCAATTTTTCGGTTTTTAATTTTTCAACTTTTAGATTTTTAATTTTTCGTTTTTTCATTTGTTCAATGTTTGACTTACAATTTTTCTAGTTTTCACTTTAAATATGTATTAACAATAATTTTAAAAAGATACCACCTCTTCAGTCATACGATTTTTATATTTTTCTATTTTTCAATTATTAGAGTTTAAAACTCTTTCATTTATTCAACTTTTCAATTTTTCCATTTTCAATTTTTTAATTTGTTGATTCTTCAATTTTGCATTTCTTCAAATTCTCGGTATGCAATTTTTCGGTTCGATTTTTTATTTTCTTTATTTTTACACTTATTCGATCTTTCAATGTTTAGATTTTAAAATTTTTTGTTTTTTCAATTTTATTTTTTCATTTCTTCAATTTTTCGCTTTCGTTTCGATTTTTTATTCTCTTTATTTTTTCAATTTTTCATATTTTATTGTTCCTTCAATTTTACGACATACGAAAACACTCTTCATTTTTTAATTTTTCAATTTTTAAAGTGTCCAACTTTTGGATTTTCAATGTTTAGATTTTTCAATTTTTCAATTCTTTGATTTGCAATTTTTCATTTCGGTTTTTTATTTTCTTATTTTTTTTAATTTTCGCATTTGCAATTTTTCGATTTTCAATTTTTCGATTTTTAGATTTTTCAGTTTCATGATTTTTCAATTTTTCTTTTGTTCAATTTTTGACGTGCAATTTTTATAGTTTCCACTTTAAATATGTAATAACAATAATTTTAAAAATTTTTCATTATTTCGACTGATCAATTTTTCGATTTTTAATTTTTCAATTTTTTTGTTCTTCAATTTTGCATTTCTTAAAATTTTTCGTTTCGGTTTTTTAAAATTCTCTTTATATTTTCAGTTGTTCGTTTTTTCAATTTTTTAATTTGCAATTTCACGAGTTTTCAGTTTTTCTGCTTCAATCTTTCATTTCTTCAATTTTTCGCCTCGATTTTTTTATTTTCTTTATTTTTTCAATTTTTCAGCTTTTCCATAATAATGTTATAATTTTCCTTTCTTTCAATGTGCAACTTTTCAATTTTTAGATTTTTTTATTTCTCGTTGTTTAAATTTTAGAATTTTCAGTTTCATGCTTTTTCAATTTTTCGTTTCTTTAATTTTTGATTTGTAATTGTTTTTAAATATTTAATAATTATCAAAAAATATTTCTCTGTTGTTCAATTACCGGATTTTAAAACTTCCGTTTACTTTATTTTTCAATTTTTTGAATTTCAATTTTTTAATTTCTCGACATTTAATTTTTCTGTGTCAAACTTAAATCTCATAATTTTTCGATTTTACAATTTTTGGGTTTTCCAATTTTTTGATTCAATAATTTTTTCGATTTTTAAGTTTTCATGTTTTAGTTTTTAGTTTCTTTTTTTGATTTTTCAACTTTTCGATTAAAAAAAAGGAAAAATAGTGAAATTGAAAGATCAAAAATGAAAAGGAAAAACCTAAAAATTGGAAATCAAGAACTTGAAAAATTGAAGAAACGAAAATTGAAAAACCAAAACATTAAAAATTGGGCAATTGAAAAATCGATAAAATGCAAAACCGATAAAACGAAATATGCATTGTAAAATCAAAATATTGAAAATTAAAGAAATCGGAATATCGAGGAATTGAAAAATCTTTGAAAAATTGAATAAACGAAAGAAACATTAAAGGGGAATAAAACCGAAAAATTGTGAGATAAAATCGAGAGAAAAAAATTAAAAATCGGGAAAATAAAAATCAAGAACACGAGTTTCTATTGTTAATTTTTTCAGTTTTTTGATTTTCCAACTTTTAGATGTTTAAATTTTTAGATTTTGGAATTTGACGAGTTTTAAATTTTTCAAGGTTTTAATTTTTCGTTTCGATTTTTTTATTTTCTTTATTTTTTCAATGTGCAACTTTTTAATTTTGGCATTTTTCAATTTTTAGATTTTTAAATTTTTCGTTTTTCAATTTTTCATGACTTTTCAATTTTTCGTTTCTTTAATTTTTGATATGCAATTTTTCTGGTTTTGATTTAATAATTATAATAAAAAAAAATCAGTTTTTGAATTTTACAATTTTAGGATTTTTCCATTTTTCAATTACTGGATTTAAAACGTTTCCGTTTATTTGATTTTTCAATTTTTCAATTTTTAATTTTTTAATTTCTCGATATTTAATTTTTCTGTTTCGAACTTCTTTAATCTTACTTTTTTGATGATTTTACAATTTTTGGGTTTTCCAATTTTTCGAATCGATTCATTAACTTTTTCCATTTTTAGTTTTTCGTTTTTTTTTTATTTTTTAACTTTTCGATTAAAAAAAAGGAAAAATTGTAAAATTGAAAAATCAATAATGATAAAGGAAAACTTTGAAAAACCTAAAAATTGGAAATCAAGAACTTGAAAAATTGAAGAAACTGAAAAATCGAAAAATGAAAAACTGTAATATCGAAAAATTGCAAAACTGCAAATGAAAAATTGCAGAATTGCAAATCAAAAACAAAACAAACGAGAAATTCAAAAATTTGGAAGTCAGGAAATTGAAAAACGAAATAAAATAAAAAAAAAGATTTTGTGATGGAATCTTTTTTTTTATTCTTAAATTTTGCATTTCTTCAATTCGGTTTCGGTTTTTTATTTTCTTTATATTTTTAATTTTTCATTTCTTCAATTTTTCAATTTACAATGTTGGCAATTTTTCGTTTTTAAATTTTTCAATTTTCCAACTTTTAGATGTCTCAATGTTTAGGTTTGCAATTTCACGTGTTTTCAATTTTTCAGCTTTTCAATGTTCTCATGTTATAATTTTCCTTTTTTCAATGTGAAATCTTTCAGTTTTGGGATTTTTCAATATTTCGATCTGCAATTTTTTGGTTTTCGATTTTTCAACTTTCCGAATAAAAAAAAAGGAAAAAACTGTAAAATTGAAAAATCAAAAATAAAAAAACGAAAAGGTATAAAAAGAAAACTTTGAAAAATAATAATAATAATTTAAACTTAGGTTAAAACTTTGCAAAGTTGATTAAACGAAAAAAGCATTAAAAAAATAAAGAAAATTAAAAACGAAAAATTGTGTTATAAAATCGAGAAAAAGAAAACTAAAAATTTTGGAAAATGAAAAACTGCAATATCGAAAAATTGCAAAATTGCAATTCGAAAATTGAACAAGCGAGAAATCAAAGTTGAAAAAACGAAAAATTATGACACCGAAAAATAAAATGTCTCAATTTGTAGATTTTTCAATTTTTTGATTTGCAATTTCATGAGTTTTAAATTTTTCAGCTTTTCATTGTACAAATAATTTTCCTTTTTTTCAATGTGAAATTCTTCAGTTTTGGGATTTTTCAATTTTTCGGTTTTCGATTTTTCAACTTTTAGATTTTAAATTTTTCGTTTTTTCAATTTTAGAATTTTCAGTTTCACGATTTTTTCGTTTGTTTAATTTTTTATTTGCAATTTTTCTGGTTTTGATTTTAAATTTGTAATAATTAATTATAATTAAAAAAAAAAACAGTTTTTGGATTTTAAAATTTTAGGATTTTTCCATTTTTCAGTTTTTCGATCTTTAATTTTTCAATTTCTCGATATTTATTTTTTCAGTTTCAAACTGAAGTCTGAGAGTTTTTGACGATGCCATAATTTTCGATTTTACAATTTTTGGGTTTTCCAAAGTTATACACATACAAAATTTGACAACAATCGGTCCAGTAGTTTCCGAGATTATGTGTCTAATATAAATTGATATAGACGACAGACAGACATTCGGAAACGGGGGACCACTTTTTTCGTACTCTAGGGGTCATGAAACGTAGAGAAAACAAAAGTGGGCTTAAGTAATCATGACTTACTAGACGACTTTTCAGAAAAAACATCATTCACTTGTCACGTTCTTTAACAACAAAACCCAACAATGAAGATGAAAGCGCTTAAATAAAAATTACTATCCACCACAACGAAACAGTGAAAAATGGGTACATTTCTAGTGGACCACACACAAAAATGAACATGAAAAATGATGATAAATGTGCCGTGTATTAATTAATATACGTTTTACTCGGAACTTCTACCCTGTACTCTACGCATTCAAGGTGGCAACGTCAACACAAAACATCATTGGCATCCACTTTTTAACAATTTAGGTGTGCGAAACTGTCACTATTGTTAGGTCGTTATTAACGCCCGTCGCCTTGTAAACCAAAAATCCTCATGTTGGTACCTCCAAGACAGCCGGACGTCAATAACGTCAACCCACAACGCCACAGCCAACTTCACACAAACAAATCCAAAAATCACCTCCTCTACTTTACAAAATGCAAACTGAAGACAACAAAAATCTCATTTGTACATACAAAACAAACTTCGACTTACTCCAACAGTCTTTTATGCTGGTTTCCAAATGTTGGGTTGTTCTGATGAGACTGTCGTATTCTAGGAAAGATGTAATGAAAATTTGCGAATGCGAAATTTTACGAAAGCACAACTGAAGGAACTTAACACATAAAGCATGGTGATGATGGATGAGACAACTATCACGAAAACGTCAAAAACGAATTACCTGACTTATGGAGATGCCCGAATCCATCGGGAATTTGTAAGTCGACGCTTTGGAGACGGTCAGCGATGACGGAATGCTGGGGATATTGAGACTTTTTTTGATAGAACTGGCACTTACTGGCGTCGTGATAATTTCGGCTTCTATGTTCCTACCGAGTTGCTTGGAGGAGTGCTGTTTTTGCTTATCGGCGAGTTTTTCCTGGAGGGTCTTACCCGAGCTGGGTTGGCTGGGTGTTACGAAGGAGGAGGTGGTTATGAGGGGAATGGAACCCTGCAGTACGGGGGTTATGGAGATGTTGGGGCGGTCTTTCATGAGGATGTTGGCAGCCTTGTCCATGGCTTTTTGGTGGATGTTGCTGTGGGCTTTGGAAATCATGGGTTCCTTGAACAACGAACAATTATGCAACCAGTAATACATCTCGAAGTGTCGACAACCATTTTGAAATTTTACATTTTTACATACCTTGAAAATCTGCGAACTCGCTGTCGTTTTGGTGACCGCCGTCCCACTCTTGCTCAGTTTCGTGATATCCGCCGCCCCATAACTCGTCCCCGCTGTATAAATCCCCTTAAAACTCCCCGGCGTGTACACAGGCTTCGCTTTACAAGTAACTGGAACCTGACTCATTGACGTAACTGAATGCGTGATAGTCTCTGTTTTGGAAGGATACGTCTTAGCTTTGTTACCCAAATTAATAGGTGCTTGTTGATTTGTCAGTGCATGTGGTAGATTAACGTTATACATACTTGACGGAACCGTCGACTTAACTTTAGTGATAGTCGTTGCTTGCGACCCAGAGGTGATAGTTTGTGGAAGAACCTTCTTGGTGGTAAAACCCGAGGACTTCGACCCTGGATCCAACGCCGCGAACGCCTTCAGAGACTCCATCGTCAAGTTCGGGGTGATGGACACTTCACTCTTCTTTTTACCATACGACGTACTCTTCTCACTTAATTGCGACGGCATAAACTGTTTGAGCAAGTTGGCGTTACTGAGTATAGGATTTTGTCCGCTTGTTAGAAACTGATTACTGAATTGACTTTGCGCCAGCGCGTTAGCGAACTGAGTTTGCGTGAAATATTGACTCAACTGAGTGAGTTGAGTCAAACTTAAACTCTGACTGTACTGTTTGATTAGTTCTTCTTGGTAGTGTTTGAGGTAGTTGTAGGTGGCGTTTTGTTCCATGAAGGATTTTTGCCAAGAGTATGGGTTTGAAGCGATGTTCGGGCTACGACCTCTGTGTACTCGTGGTTGTCCGGGTACTTTAGGTAGAGGGGGGCGGCCGCGAGGTCTGCCCATTCCGGGTCTTTTAAGAGGGGGTTGATTAGACGGACCTACCGTAGATGGCGCTGGTAAAACCGGGGGCTGCAAAAATTATTTAAATAATGCACGTCAATTGTGAGTGTACAAACATTGGCGACTCCTGGTCCTCGTAGCAGTGCTGCTGCTGCTTGATTTTGGAGTTGGCGCTTTTGTTTTTCTACGATGCGGTTTTGTTGGCAGAATTTGGTCGCTAAGTCTAGGACGTTGGCGTTTTCGGGGATCTGTAATGCATTTTTGTGACAATTGGAATTAAAGTTGTAAAATTTGTTCAGAATAAATTTGGCGGTGTTGTTAAATTTTTAAAATTTGAATTATCCTTTTTTAAATTGATTGATGTAGAAAAATTATTGCATAATTTTGTTTTACTTTGTCAGTTGAAAAAAAAAAAATTGTGAAAACTACCGCTTTTCCTCAAATACTGGTAATTATTAGGGGGCAATAATAGTTATTTATGTATCAAGGGTATTATGAAGTACTTTATGCCTGGTTTATTACATTTTTTCGATTTTGTGGACAATTTTTATTGTTTTGTTTTTTATTATCTGATTTCTTTGTTGTTTTTTTCGAATTTTTGAGATATTTTCCATATTTGGATTTTTGGAATTACTGGATTTTTTTATTTCTTTGATATTTTTGGATTTTTTGGACATTATCAATTTTTTGGATACTTGCATTTTTTTCAGTGTTTGGACTTTTTTAATTTTGTTACATTTTTTGGAGTTGATACTTTTTATTTATTTAATTTTCTGATTTTCGGATTTTTTGAATTTTTGGAATTTTGGAGTTCCTGAGTTTTTAAGGTTCTTGAGTTTCTTCGATTTTTTTAAATTGTTGGGTTTTTTGGATCATTGGATTTTTTTAATTTCTTCGGTTTGTTGCATTTCTTGAATTTCTTGTATTTTTTGGTTTTTTGGATCCAAAAAATCAAAGAATTAAAAAAATTCAAACATAAAATTTTTTTGGATTTCTGGAATTACTGGATTTCTTGAATTTTTTGGGATTTTTGAACTGCTCGGATATTACAGATTTTTGGTTTTTACCTTTTTTTCGGATTTATTCAATTTTTTCGTTTTCTGGACAATTTTTTTTGTTTTTTTTTTTCGTTTTCTGGTCATTTTTTTGTTTTTTTTTTTTAATTTTGGGATATCTTCCATATTTGAACTTTTGGAATTACTGGTTTTTTGAATTTCTTCGATTTTTTTAGATTTTTGGATTTTCAATCTTCAATTTTTTGGACATTATCGATTTTTTGGATATTTGCATTTCTTGCGTTTTTTTGGACTTTTTGAATTTTATTGGATTTTTTTTTTTGGAATTGTGAGATTTCGTGGATTCTTTTTGGATATTTTTTTCTTATTTATTTAATTGTCTGATTTTAGGATTTTTGGAGTTCTTGAGTTTAAGTTTCTTGGGTTTTTTGGATTTTTTAAATTCTTAGATTTTTTGGATCAGCGGATTTTTTGAGTTTCTTCGATTTGTTGCATTTTTTGGGTTTCTTATATTTTTTGGATCCAAAAAATCAAAGAATTTAAAAAATTCAAACAAAAATTTTTTGGATTTCTGGAATTGTTGGATTTCTTGAATTTTTTGGGATTTTTAGTTTGTACGGATGTTGCAGATTTTTTGTTTTTTTTTTGGTTTTTACTTATTTTTCGGATTTATTCCATTTTTCCGTTTTCTGGATTTTTTTTTTTTTAATTTTGGGATATTTTCCATAATTTATTTAACAGAGAAATTACAGAGTAGAGGAAAAAAAATCCTATGGGTACTCTATACAAATTAAACTAAACTTTATTTGAATTTTTGGAAATACTGGTTTTTCGAACTGCTCGGATTTTGTAGATTTTTGAATTTTGAATCTTCGATTTTTTGGATATTTATTTGTTGCGTTTTTTGGACTTTTTGAATTTTGTTGGATTTTTTTTTTTGGAATTGTTAGATTTCTTGGATTTTTTTTGGATAATTATTTTTTTCTTATTTATTAAATTTTCTGATTTTTGGATTTTTTGGATTTTTGGGGTTCTTGAGTTTTTTAAGTTTCTTGGGATTTTGGATTTTTTAAATTCTTTGATTTTTTGAGTTTCATTAGTTTGTTGTATTTCTTGTTTTTTTTTGATGCAAAAAATCAAAGAATTTAGAAAATTCAAGCATCTAAAAAATCCAACAAACCCAAGAAACTCAAAAAAATAAAAAAAAACGAAAATCCACAATATCGAGTAAAATTCAATAAATCCAAAAAATCCAAAGAATCTAAAAAATCCGAAGAACTCGGTAATACAAAAAATCCAAATAAATCCAAGAACTCCAGAAATCCACAATCCTCAAAAAATCCAAAAACTCAAGAAATTCAAGAAATCCAAAAAATCGAAGAATCTAAAAAATCCAAGAAGTTAACTAATTGAAGTGATTCAAAAATTCAAAGGTCCAAGAAACTCAGAAGCCCAAAAATCCAAAAAACAGAAATAAAACAAAACAGAAAACAAAAATTATCAAAAAAAAAATCGAAACAAGTTGAATTTTGCATGTTTTTAATTTAGTCATTGCTTTGGATTTTCTCGATATATTCAATTTTTTTAATTTTTGCAATTATTAGATTTTTGAGTTTTTTGGGTTTTTTGGATTTCTTCGGTTTTTTAGGTTTTTCGGATTTTTTTTGGATTAGTTAGATTTTTTTAATTATATGGATTTTTTTTCTTATTTGGATTTTTTGGGTAATTTAAATTTTTTAGATTTTGCTTTTTTTATTTTTTGGATTTATTCAAGTTTTTCGATTTTTTTGATAATTTTAACTTTTTTAATTTTCTGATTTTTGGAAATTTGGAATTATTCTATTTTTTGGATTTTTGAAATTACCGGATTTTTTGTTTTATTTTTTGAATTTTTTTTCAATTTTTTCAAGTTTTAAGATTTCTTGATTTTTTTTTTGGATAACCTTTTCTTGTTTATTTAATTTTCCGACTTTTGGAATTATTGGAGTTCTTGAGTTTTTTAAGTTTCTTGGATTTCTTTGATGTTTTAGATTAATTGGTTTTTCGGATTTCTGGAATCAATGGAGTTCTTGAATTTTTTTGGTTTTTTGGTTAATATATTTTTTTTTGGATTTATTCAATTTAGTGTTTTCTGGGCAATTTTTATTGCTTTGTTTTTTATTTTCTAGTTTATTTGATTTTTTGAATTTTTGTGATATTTTCCATATTTGGATTTTTGGAATTACTAGTTTTTTGAGTTTCTTCGATTTTTTGGATATTTGCATTTCTTGCGTTGTTTGGACTTTTTGAATTTTGTTGGATTTTTTTTTGGGATTGTTAGATTTCTTGGATTCTTTTTGGATAATTTTTTCTTATTTATTTAATTTTCTGATTTGGAGTTTTTGGATTTTTGGAGTTCTTGAGTTTTTAAGTTTCTTGGATTTTTTACATTTTTTGATTTTTTGGATCAGCGACTTTTTTAAGTTTCTTCAGTGTTGGATTTCTTGTATTTTTTGAAGGTTTGGGTCCAAAAAATTAAAAAAATTCAGACATGTAAATTTTTTTGGATTCCTGGAATTGTTGGATGTCTCGAATTTTTGGGGATTTTTCGGATATTACAGACTTTTTGGTTTTTACTTATTTTTCGGATTGATTCAATTTTTCCGTTTTCTGGACATTTTTTTTTTGTTCTGTGTTTTCTCTGATTTTTTTTTTTAATTTTGGGATATTTTCCATATTTGAATTTTTGGAATTACTGGTTTTTTGAGTTCCTCGGATTTTTTAGATTTTTGAATTTTAAATTTTCGATTTTTTGGATATTTGCATTTGTTGCGTTTTTTGGACTTTTTAAATTTTGTTGGATTTTTTTTTGGATAATTTTTTCATATTTAATTTTCTGATTTTTGGATTTTTTGGATTTTTGGGGTTCTTGAGTTTTTAAGTTTCTTGGGTTTTTGGATTTTTTAGATTATTGGATTTTTTAAATTCTTTGATTTTTTGAGTTTCTTCTGTTTGTTGCATTTCTTGGATTTCTTGCATTTTTTGATTTTTTGGATCCAAAAAATTAAAGAATTTAGAAAATTCAAGCATCTAAAAAATCCAACAAACCCAAGAAACTCAATAAATTAAAAAAAAAACAAAAAAAAAATTATCCAAAATATCCAAAAAAAAATCAATAAATCCAAAAAATCCAAAGAATCTGAAAAATCAGAGGAACCCAAGAAACAAAAAATTCGGTAATCCAAAAAATCCAAATCAATCCAAGAACTCCAAAAATCCAAAATCCTCCAAAAATCTAAAAACCCAAGAAATTCAAGAAATCCAAAAAATCGAAGAATTTCAAAAATCCAAGAAGTTAAATAATTGAAATGATTCAAAAATTCAAAGATCCAAGAAACTCAGAAGTCCAAAAATCCAAAAAACAGGAATAAAACAAAACAAAAAACAAAAATTACCCAAAAAAATCGAAAAAAGTTGAATTTTGGATTTTCTGGATATATTCGATTTTTTGAATTTTTGCAATTATTAGATTTTTGAATTTCTTGGGTTCTTTGGATTTCTTCGGTTTTTTGGACTTTTTCGATTATTTAAATTTTTTTATTACATGTATTTTTTTTTTATTATTTCGATTTTTTTGGATTTTTAGATTTTGCTTTTTTTTTATTTTTTGGATTTTTCAAGTTTTTCGATTTTTTTGATAATTTTTTTGTTTTATTTGCCAACTTTTGGAAGTTTGGAATTCTTCTATTTTTTTGGATTTTGGGATATTTTCCATATTTGGATTTTTGAAGTTACTGGAATTTTTGTTTCTTTTATTTTTTTGATTTTTTTTTAATTTTTTGAACGTTATCAATTTTTTTGGATATTTGCATTTCTTGCATTTTTTGGATTTTGTTAATTTTTTAGTTTTTAGATTTCTTGATTTTTTTTTAATCTTTTGTTTATTTAATTTTCTGATTTCTGGATTTTTTGAATTTTTGGAATTCTTGGGTTTCTTAGATTTTTTTAGATTAATTGTTTTTTTGGATTTCTAGAATCAGTGGAGTTCTTGAATTTTTTGGGTTTTTTTGCTTTTTTTATTGTTTTGTTTTTTATTTTCTAGTTTTTTGTTTTTTTTTCGGATATTTTCCATATTTGAATTTTTAGATATTTAAATTCTTTGATTTTTGAACATTATCGATTTTTTGATATTTGCATTTCTTGCGTATTTTGGATTTTTTGAATTTTGTTAGATTTTTTGGAGTTCTTAGATTTCTTGGATTTTTTTTGGATAATTTTTCGTGTTTATTTAATTTTCAAATTTTTGGATTTTTGAAATTCTTGGGTTTTTAAGTTTCTTGGTTTTCTTGGATTTTTTAAATTCTTTGATTTTTTGGATCATTGGATTTCTTGATTTTTTGACTTTTTACATCCGAAAAATTAAAGAATTTAAAAAATTCAACAAACCCATGAAACTAAAAAAACCCAAGAAGTTCAAAAAATTCAAAACATCGTAAATATCCATAAATTCAAAAAGCAGCCAAAAAAAATTGAAAAAATTCAAAAATCCAAAGCATCCAAGAAACTCAGAACCTCAAAAAACTTAGGAAATTCAATAATTCCGAACATCCAAAAAATAAAAATTATCCAAAAAAAATCGAAAAAAGAAACTGAACCGAATTTTGCATTTTTGTTTTTTTCATTTTATTGGATTTTTTGGATGTATTCGATTTTTTGCGTTTTGGAATTATCGAATTTCTTGAGTTTCCTGGGTTTTTTGTGGATTTCTTCGATTTTTTAGTTTTTTCGAATTTTTTTGGATAATTTGGACTTTTTGTTTTTATTTTTTTGAATGCTTTCAATTTTTTGATAATTTTTATTTTTTTTTTTTATTTCGTGTTTTTCGAATTATTCTGGTTTTCCGATATTTGGAGATTATTATAGATTTTCTGGATTTTGGATTTCTTGAGTTTCTTGCTTGCATCCATTGGGTTATTTAATTTTTTTCCGATTTCGTGAATTTTTTTAATTTTTCGAACTTATTCAAAATCCGAGGAAATAAATTAGCATTTTAAAAAATTTAAATTTTTTTCTAAATATCAAAAAAAGTACAGTAACACAAAATTATGCGCATATTTTGACAAACATTTATGCATATAAATCCCCCCTTCATTATTACCTTTCCCTTCTTCATTTTCTTGTACACCTCGGTCAACATCGCCGCAAACGTGGCCTCCTTGGCGGTTTCGTGCTTCTGCACGCGCTGATACGACCTAAATATATCCTGCAGAAGTCTCTGAACAGCCGTATCATTCATATTTGCCACATTCTGTATCTGCGCCCTCAAACACTGAATACACATCGCCATGGCTTGGTCCGCAAACTGTAACCTCTCCGAATCTTTGATATAAATTCTAAAACACAATAAAACTATCCTGACCAAAAAAAAAACGAACAGTGCGTACTTATCGGGGTCCGGAGCTTTTCTGAACTGCATCGAGAGATCTAGAAGGAGCTTATTATCATTAGTGGCACGCAAAATTTGCAGGAGAAGAGTGATGCAGCGGCTCATGTGGGCAGATAGAGAGCCAGGACGGTCAATTTCGCTTGATGGTATTCTCCAAATTCCCTACAATACATGATACATGTACACACAATATGATTACTATTTAAAAAACTGACGTTGAAAAAGTTGTGATTTTTGCGATCTGAAAATAATCCTGTGATGACGACGCCGCCTTTGCAGGTGTATTCACCCAATAATAATTGTTTGCTTTTACTTAAGTCCTTTCTGCTTTTGTAGTTGAAATATAAATGCGCGAGTCTGTATAACGCTTTGTAATTTTGAGGCAGACGTATAACACACTGTTCCAACCCTTGAATAATATATATGTTATATAAATGAGTTGTGAAATTAAAAATTTATAAATAATTTACCAACAATACAGCGATCAATGAGTGCAAGAATGTCGCTATTAGACATATTTCCATTAGTAGTTTCTGACGACGAAGACGACGAAGAAGAACTGCTATCGTCGTCGCTGTCTGAATCAGAACTACTGGACGAACTACTTGAAGAACTCGGGGAACTACTCGACTCATCAACTGACGTCTGAAAATAATTCCATCACTATCAACTGCCAACTTAAATAAACACAACTTTACTCTTATATCGGTTTCCGTTTCGCTTCCACTCTTCACTTTAGTATTTTCAACTTTCTCCACCTTCGTTTCCTCCATTTTTACTTCCACAACGTTCTTGCTCGTCAAACTAGTGTCCGAATCCGGCTCCTGCTCCTCAGTCTTCTTCATCGTTTCTTCCATCATCTTATCCAGAAAATCCTGAACGTCCTGACCTGCTCCCTTTGGCGGAAACTCGATCTTACTCACCTCAGCCTGTGCTTTCGACTCGTCGTCCGAATCGGAAATCATGATGACGTCCGTGCCGTCGTCTTTTTTAGTCGAAACGGGGTCTTTGGCGCTACTTGCGATTTTGCTCAACATATCGTTGATGCAGTTTTTGACTTCTTTGAGGATGTCTTCGTTTTTGATTTTCGGGTCTTTGGCGGCTGGCGCGGGAGCCGTGTTTGATATTAATTGTTTGACGAGGGTTTTCTTGGGGAAGTAGGACTTGTCTAGGTGCTCTTTGAAGAGGTTTCCGACGGAGTTGGGGATTTCTTTGCCTTCGTGGAGTTCTAGGTATTTCAAGACGGATGCGTGGATTCTGTAGTGTAACTCTAGGGCTTCTACGGATAGGTGCTGGGGGTTGTGGTAGTTGATTTTGTCGGGGTACATGGCGTTGTTTTCGTGGAGGAGTTTGCTAGCCTGTGATCATAACAGAAGAAAAAATTGGTCGAAGGTTATTTATTTTTGGGGTTTTTTTAGTTTTCCAATTTTTCAATTTTTACAATTTTCGCCATTTTTCAAATTTTCGGTTTAAATTTTTTTTTATTGCTCAATTTCTGGACTTTTCGATTGTTCGGTTTGTCAATATTTCGATTTTTCAATTTTTGAAAATAATTTTTTCCCGTTGGTTAACTGCTTTAAATATTTTTCTTATTGTCCGCCTCCTTTGGAATTTGCGCCCCCACAGCGCAGAAAAATTGAAAAATCGAGCAATCGAAAAATACTGAATTTAAAAAATTGAAAAATAAAAAAATTGGACACTCGAAAATTTTTAAAATTGAAAAATATAAAATTTAAAAACCGAAAAATCGCAAAATTGAAGAATCGAAAACTGAAAAATCCAGAAATTGAAAAACTCGAAAACTAAAATGACCGAAATATTGAAAAATCGAAGCATCGAAAAATTGGAAAATCGAGAAATCCAAATAAATCTAACATCAAAAGATTAAGAAATCGCAAAGTCGAAAAATCGAAAAATTGAGAAATCGAAATAGTCCAAAATCGAAAAGTTAAAAATTGAAAAATTTAACAATAAAGTGATAAATCGAGAAATTAAAAAATTGAAAATTCGAAAAACTGAAAAATATAAAAATTGAAAAATCCATAAATCAAAAATTTTAAAAATCGAAAAATTGAAAAACCGAAAAGTCGAAATTCGAAACATCCAGAAATCGAAACATTAAATAAATTTTTCGATTTGTCCATTTTTCGATTTTTTGATTTCTCTATTTTTTTGAATTTCAGTTTTTCGAGTTTTAAATTATACATTTTTCATTCTTTCGATTTCTAGATGTTTCGATTTTTCTATTTTTAAATTTTTTGAATTTTCAGTTTTTCGATGTTCGATTTTTCGATTTCTCGATTTTTCGAGAAATCGAATTCTCCATTTGTCAATCTTTCGGTTCTTCGATTTTTCGATGTTTTAAATTTTTAAATTTTAGATTTATCAGTTTTTTGATGTTTCTATTTCTCGACCTTTTGAAATTTTGACTTCTCGGTTTTAAATTTTTCGGTTTTCCATTTTTCAACTCTCGATTTGTCAATTTTTTGATATTTTAATTTCAGGATCTTTCAGATTTTCGATTTCTCATTTGTGAAATCTTCAGTTTTTCGATTCTTCAATTTTTCATTTTTTTTTATTTTCGACTTCGATTTCCTGATTATTTGTTGACGTTCTGAATTCTCGTTTTTTTATCTTTTCATTTCTCCGTTTCTCCATTTTCAGTGTTTTTCAAATGTGTAATTTGCCGATTTTTCAGGTTTTTTATTTCTCAATTATTCAATGTTTCAGTTTTCGGATTTTTCAATTTTTAAATTTTTGGATTTTTCAATTTTAGATTTTTTCAATTTTTTACTGTTTCGATTTCCCGCCTTTTCATTTTCCCGATTTTTCGACATTTAGATTTTTTTTTTGGTTCTTCAATTCATCGATGCTTTGGTTTTTCAATTTTTAACTTCTAGATTTTGAAGTATTTTGACTTCTCGGCTATTGATGTTTGGATTTTTCAACTTTTTGTCATTCAGTCTTGGAGTTTTCAATATTTCGATTCTTCAATTTTTCGGTTTTTAGGTTTCTCAATTTTTTAATTCTTCAATTTCACGATTTATCGGGATTTCGATGTTTCAATTTTTTTAATTTTACATTTTTCAATTTTTATCTTTTTGATTTCTCAATTTCTCAATCTTTTGATGTTTGAATTTCTCGATGTTACATTTTTCCAATTTTTAGGATTTTTTAATTTTTCGGTTCTTAAATTTTTCAATTATTTGATATTTCAGTTTTGAGACTTTTCAATATTTTATACATTCTTTAATTTTTTGAATTTTTAAATTTTAGATTTATCATTTTTTTTTATTGTTTCGATTTCTCGATATTTTAGTCTAAGGATTTTTCAGTTTTTTTATTGTTTAACTTTTCGATTTTTTAATTCCTCGATTTTCAATTTTTGGATACATATATTTTAATGTTGAAATTTTTCAAATTTTCGATTCTTCATTGGTGGATTCTTCAGTTTTTCGACTTTTCAATTTTTCAGTTTTTTAATTTTCGGCTTCAATTTTCCGATTTCTCATGATCCGAATTTTCGATTTTTTTATTTTTCCGTTTCTCGATTTCTCGATTTTCAATGTTTTTTAACTGCTCAAATTATCGGTTTTTCAATGTTTTTATCTTTTTAAACTCTCGGTTTTTCGACTTAGATTTTTCAATGTTTCAGTTTTGGGATTTTTCAATTTTTTGATTCTTCAATTTTTCTTAGAATTTTCAATTTTTCCATATTTCTGTTTTGGGATTTTTCAATATTTCAGTTTTTCAGGTTTCCGATTTCTCGATTTTCTACTTTTTTGATTTTTAATATTTTGATTTGTCACTTTTTCAGTTTTCCCGGTTTTTCGACTTTTTGACTTTTCAATTTTTAACTTTTATATTTTGAGATATTTCGACTTTTCGACTTTTGATGTTTGTATTTCTCGATGTTTCAGTTTTTCAATTTTTCGATTTCTCGACTTTGGATTGTTCGATTTTCCAATTTTTCGATGTTTCGATTTGTCGATATTTCAATTTTTCGATTTTTTAATTTGTATGTTTTTCAGTTTTTCGATTTTTAGATTTTTCAATTTCTCGGTTTTCAGTTTTTAGATACATTTCAGTGTTCAGATTTTAGAGTTACTTATGGATTCTTCAGTTTTTCGACATTTCAAATTTTCAGTTTTTTGATTTTCGACTTCGATTGCCCGATTTCTCAACGTTTCGAATTTTGGATTTTTTTGTTTTCCCAATGTCTTTCAACTGTTCAATTATTCTATTTTTTAAGTTTCTGGTTTTTCAATTTTTTGTTTTTTTTTTTTATTTTGGATGTTTCGGTTTTGGGATTTTTCAATATTTCGGGTCTTTAGATTTTCAATTTCTCGATTTTTTACTTTCTCAATTTTCCAATGTTTCAATTTTTACATTTTGTGTCAACAGTTTTGGGAGTTTTCAATGTTCGATTCGTCAATTTTTCGGTTTTTCAATTTTTCAATTTTTGAATTATTTTTATATTTTTCAATTTCTCGATTTTCAATTGTTAGATACATTGTGGATCCTTCAGTTTTCCGACTTTCAAATTTTTCAGTTTTTTCATTTTCGACTTTGATTTCCCGATTTCTCGACGTTTCGAATTTTCGATTTTTTTATTTTCCCATTTCTTATTTTCTCAATTTTCAATATTTTTCAACTGTCCAATTTTTCGATTTTTCAGGTCTTTGATGTTTTAATTTTTTGATTTTTTAAATTTTCGGTTTTTCAACACTGATTTTTGGATATTTTAATTTTTCAATTTCTCAAATATTCGATGATTCAGTTTTGGGATTTTTCAATTTTTCGATATTTCAGTTTTGGGATTTTTCAGTATTTCGAGTCCTCAGATTTTCGATTTCTCGATATTTTAATTTTTTAATTTTAGATTTTGAGGTATCTCGACTTTTCGGTTTTTTATGTTTGGATTTCTCGATCTTTCAGTTTTTCAATTTTTCGATTTCTTGACTTTGGATTGTTCGATTTTCCAATTTCGATATTACAATTTTTGGATGTTTCAATTTTTTAATTTTTATGTTTTTCAATTTCTCGATTTTTAGATTTTTCAATTTCTCGGTTTTCAGTTTTTAGATACATTTCAGTGTTCAGATTTTTCAAATTTTAGATTTACTTATGGATTTTTCAGTTTTTCGACATTTTAAATTTTCACTTTTTTGATTTTCGACTTCGATTGCCCGATTTCTCAACGTTTCGAATTTTGGATTTTTTTGTTTTCCCATTACTCGATTTCTCGATTTTCAATGTCTTTCAACTGTTCAATTATTCTATTTTTTAAGTTTCTAGTTTTTCAATGTTTTTGTTTTTTTTTTAATTTTCTGTTATTCAACTTGGATTTTTTGATTTTTCAATTTTTCGATGTTTCAGTTTTGGGCTTTTTCAATATTTCGAGTCTTCAGATTTTCAATTTCTCGATTTTTTATTTTTTCAATTTTCCAATGTTTCAATTTTTAAATTTTGTGTCAACAGTTTTGGGAGTTTTTAATGTTCGATTCGTCAATTTTTCGGTTTTTCAATTTTTCGATTTTTGAATTGTTTTTATATTTTCAACCTTCGATTTTTAGATTTTTCAATTTCCCGATTTTCAATTTTTAAATACATTGTAGATTCTTCAGCTTTTCGACTTTCAATTTTTTCAGTTTTTTGATTTTCGACTTTGATTTCCCTGTTTCTCGACGTTCCGAATTTCCAATATTTTTCAATTTTTTGATTTTTTAAATTTTCGGCTTTTCAACATTGATTTTTCGATTTTTTTATTTTTTCTATTTCTGAAATATTCGATGTTTCAGTTTTGGGATTTTTAATTTTTCGATATTTCAGTTTTGGGATTTTTCAATATTTCGAGTCTTCAGATTTTCGATTTCTCGATTTTTTATTTTTTTGATTTTTAAATTTTTGGATTTTTCAATTTTAGATTTTTCAATTTCTCGATATTTTAATTGTTTTATTCTAAAATTTTAGATTTTAAAATATTTCGACTTTCGAGCTTTTTATGTTTGGACTTCTCGATCTTTCAGTTTTTCATTTTTTCGAGTTCTCGGTTTTTCCTCGACTTTTCAATGTTTTATTCAATGTTTTGATTTTAAATTTTTTGTCATTTCAGTTTTGGGAGTTTTGAATTTTCGATTCTTCAATGTTTCAGTTTATCAATTTTTCGATTTTTAATTTTTTTAAATTTTTTAGTCTTTACATTTTTAGATTTTTCAATTTCTCGATTTCCAATTTTTATATACATATTTCAGTGTTGAGATTTTTCAAATTTTCGATTCGTCATTTACGGATTCTTCAGTTTTTCGACTTCCAAATTTTTCAGTTTTTTGATTTTCGACTTCGATTTCCCGATTTCTCGACGTTCCGAATTTTCCATTTTTTTATTTTTCCATTTCTCGATTTCTCGATTTTCAATGTTTTTAATTGTTTAATTATTAGATTTTTCAGGTTTATTGTTTTTCAATTTTTTTAGTTTCTAAGTTTTCGTTTTTTCGGCTTAGATTTTTCGATTTTTCATTTTTCGATTTCTCAATTATTCGATAAATTAGTTCTGGGGTTTTTAAATTTTTCGATATTTAAGCTTTGAGATTTTTCAAAATTTCGCTTCTTCAGATTTTCGATTTTTAAATTTTTTATATTTTTTAATAATTTATCACCTTTAATTTTTCGATTCTGGAGTATTTCCACTTTTCAATTTCTCGATTTTTTGATGTTTGGATTTCTCGCTGTTTCATATTTCCACTTTGTCGATATTTGATCTTTTCGGCTTTTCGGTTTTTTTTACATTTTCCATTTTTAAATTATAGATTTTTCGATTGTTCGAATTTTTTAAGAACTACAAAATTGAAAAGTCGAAAAATCTGGAAGTTGAGAAATAAAATTAAAAAAAATATTAATCGAGAAATTCAGAAACGTTAAAATCTGAAAACTTGAAAATTCGAAAAATTGAAGACTCGGGAAATTGAGCAAATTGAAAAATTAAAAAATCGAGAACTCGAAAATTGGAAGAATCGAAAATTCGAAAAATAGAGAAATCAGACACAGACGGAAACTTAATTTACAATCAGGAAATAAAAACATCATTCACAACTCACTCACCATAACATAATACTTCAAGTACGCCTGCGGCTCCTCCTGCTTCTTCTCCGCCACCTTCCCCAAAATATAATACTGCAACCACCTCTCATCCGGATCGACTTCGTCCGGCTGGTACAACTGAATCGCCTTCTCGAAACTCCCCCCCGAACTCTCCAAATAATTATTCTTCTGGTTCTCGAGATACTCAAACCGTTCCATACTCAGAGTATCCGACTCGCTCTTCATAACCCTCGAGCAGAACGAATGCACCATGTACTCAAACGACCCAAACTCGATCCACAGCATAATATGATCCTTCTCAATCTCCAGCGCTTGCCTGAAACTAATCTGAGCACACTTCGCCTTATCCAGAAACTCCATCTCACTCCTGAGTTTTTTACAATAGTTGAGCTTATTCTCCAACTGACTTAAGTAGCTTAAGCCCACGCACGCCCACGAGTCGACGCGCGTGGGGTTAATGCACAGATCCATCAAAAAATACTTAATGCAGCGCGTGAACTCCCTTTGTTTGAAGTAGTAGTCGCCGATTAAATAGTAGATGGCGCGCACTTTAGTCGAGAATTTAATCGGGTCAGGGAGTTCGTCGGTTTTGCCTTGGATGAAATCGGATAGTTTGGACATGTGGGGTTGGGGGTCCATTGCGGGTGGAACTAGCGCTATAATTCTCTGCAACAGTTGCTCCAAATCTGACGAAATCGACGCATTCTTGTACGAGTTGAACTCGGGGAGGCAATCCGGACCGTAGAAGTCGTACAGTTGAAACGCGCGCTCCCACGTTAGTGACAAAGGGTCGACATTATGGTCCGCTAGGTGGCGCGAAATCTAAAACTTACTCAGTAACGTTGGGTCTCATTTTTTCTTATATATGTACTTTGTTCTTTTTGCTGGGGTGTTGGTACAAGCAAAACAGCGACTGCTCGATGTGGATGTCGATTTTTTCGCGGAATGGCTCGAATATAGGGGTGTCCAAACGGTCGAGGATTGTGTCCAAGATGAAGTGGAGGAGTTCGCCGTTTCCGATGAGGCACCACCCCCTCGGACCTAAGTTTGAGTTAGTTTTGGAAAAAATTTGAGTCTTTGAGTGGTTACTAACCTAGAAATTCGTGAGCGGAGAACAAAATGGCGACTGAAGGTGGTAGTTCTTCGTTTTGGGTGTCCGAAGTGTCGAGGTCGGTGTCGGTTTTGTCGGTTTTAATGTGACTTACTCGTTTACTTGCTTGCTGGCGGTGTTCTTCCCTCACTAGAATGTAGTGGAGTAATATCCAGGGTGTCACACACCCCAGGGGAATTTTAGACACGTTGTCTGTATTTAGTTGTTTGCATACTATTTTGGCTAAAGTTTCGATGAGACGGGCGCGCTTATCTTCACTTAACGCATCAACTGAAACAATTTTTATACTAATCCCCACTAAAAATTTGATGACGTCACTAACCGACTCCCACGGTTTCCATTTTGATGATCTCTTGGAAAAACGCGAGACACTTTTCCACGATTTTCTCCCACTTGTCGGCGTTTCGTACCGGTTTCAAAAAGTGCCCGACGGCCTCAAACAAGCACTCCTCCGTCCACACAAAACACTCCGTGAGATCAGTATACCACAAAGAATGCATGAGCATGGCCAACTGAGCCGGTCTACCCATTTTACCACAAGTGGGGTGATTCCCCGAACTATTAAAAGTCAATTTTAAAATTTCAGCCACATCTCTATATTTTTCACCGTTGTATAACTCCTCAATGCAGTTCAGCGACGTAATCCTTAAAAAGAAAATTACAATAAATTAAACTAACGACTAAAAATAATAATACATGTCTAGATGTTTCAGGATTTTTGTAACAACTTCACTATTAATAGCGCCACATTTGAAACAATTAGGCAAATTTAGTACGTATAATTGCTCCTTTTTCTTCTCTTCTTCGAGCATCACTTCATGTATCTAAAAATTGTAAAAATACTAACGACTTTGTGCCTATTTATTAAATTAAAAACCATTTCTAGTGCTCTAATAGCCAGATCGTTGTTCCCTTCCTTTCTAAAAATATGCGTCCTCAGCCAATACACCCTCAGCAAAACTGAAGGATACTCGTCGTGCCAGTCGTCCTCCCAACCACACACAAATTGCAAAAACCCCAACGAAGTCACGTGGATGACTCTCACCTCAGACCTAAAATAACAGTAAGCGTGTTCGCACCTCGTCGGATTTACACTCACTTGGGAGAACTGAAAGTAAGCAACTCCCCGTAGAGCAAAGTCGCCATGGCGTCGTCCTTCAATTCTAGGAACGGTGTTTCCCCGGAAAAGTACTCAGGGTGGTCGAAGTGTTCCCTGTACATGGAGTAAGCCTCGACGTACATGTGTACTAAATCTTTGGGCCACTTCGCCGACCATAGTTTGGATAAAGCGATGACGAAGTCTTTAAGCAGGACGATGGCGTCGCAGTAGTCGCGAGGTTTCGTCCACAAAGAAAGGACATCTTCTTTTTCTTGATCGGTACCGAAGTATTCTTCTCTGGAAAGGGGTTGGCCAATAAAAATAAAAATGTTTACGGTCTACAGCGAATGTTTAATTTTCCGACCCTATTTTTTACAAGAGTATTTGGGCAAAAGTGGTGAAAAAAAATGAATTCTGTGTTGTCATTAACTGTAGAAAAATATAATAATTAGAGAGCGGATTTCTAGGTTTAATGCTTTTGTGAAAAATGTAAGCACTTTTTACTTCCCGAGCGTAAGCAAAGGAAGTATTGTAATCGAGTCCGTCGGCCGACTCTCTACTTTTACGTTTTCTCGATCTTTCATGACCCCTAGAAGACGAAGAAATAGGTCTCCCATTTCCGTCTGTCTGTCCGTCTGTTCGTCCGTCTGTCTGTCCGTCTGCCGTCCCGGATTTTTATTAGACAGATAATCTCCGAAAGTACTCGACCGATTGTTGTGAAATTTTGTACTTATATTAAGAATATCATGTAGATGGTAAAACGCTAACCAAAATTTGTCTAATCATCCCCACCATTAATGCGATGACGTCACTTCAAAATTGTACATAGTAAATGGGTTTTCAATTGTATAAAATAACATAGTCCTACACATGTAGTTTACAACTCTGAATCGACTTTTCACCCGAAACGTCCAGATTTTTGAAAAAAAAAATCAAAATTATAAAACAACATTTTGAAATTTAATTTTTAATCTGCTAACCAGAATGCTTTGAAATGTTGCAGATGTTTTAAGGCTATAAAGATCATCATAAATCTTTAGTCAAAAAATATTTGCTTATCCCCTCCAAAAACTTGATGACGTCAGCTCAAAAGTTTGTGGAATAAATCATATCTAAAATGTACAAAATATGATGAGTCTGTACTTGTGATCTATCACTCCATTCATATTTTTTGGATTTGCATATACAGGGTGACTCAAAAAAATTAATGAATGCGTAAATATATTTTATTGCTTTAATCAGGAACTACAAAACCGAATGCTCTGAAATCTTGCAAATGTTTTAAGGTCATAAAGAGCATAATAAATGTTTAGTCAAAATATATTTGCTTATCCCCTCCAAAAACTTGATGACGTCAGCTCGAAAGTTTGCCGAATAAATCATATCTAAAATGTACAAAATATGATGAGCCTGTACTTGTCATTTATCACTCCATTCATATTTTTTGGATTGGCATATACAGAGTGACTCAAAAAAATGAATGAATGCGTAAATATATTTTATTGATTTAATCAGGAACTACATAACGGAATGCTCTGACATCTTGCACATGTTTTAAGGTTATAAAGAGCATAATAAATGTTTAGTCAAAATATATTTGCTTATCCCCTCCAAAAACTTAATGACGTCAGCTCGAAAATTTGCCGAATAAATCATATCTAAAATGTACAAAATATGATCAGTCTGTACTTGTGATCTATCACTCCATTCATATTTTTTGGATTTGCATATACAGGGTGATTCAAGAAAATAAATGAAAGCGTAAATTTATTTTACTGATTTACTCAGAAACTACAAAACCGAATGCTTCGAAATCTTGAAGATATTTTAAAATTATCATAAGCATGGTAAACTTTTGTTCAAAATATATTTATTCATCCCTCCTAAAAAAATTGATGACGTCACCCTTAAATTTTGTTGAATAAATCCTATCTAAAATGCAAAAAATATGATGAGTTTGTACTTGTGATATATCATTCCATTCATATTTTTTAGATTTTCTTAAGAGGTGGTTCAAAAAAATTAATGAAGTCAATTTATTTTATTGATTAAATTAAAGGCAACACTTATTATTAGTATTACACCCCAACCAACCCAATTTGGTAGACACAAAATTTGTTAAAGGAAAAACTCGGTTGAAACATAAGGGTAGCACGCTTATTTACATCGACTTTAACATTACAGACCTGCATTTGTTCACTTGGTTCCGCGAATGTGAAATAGACATGTTTATAATCAACCAATTCTGAATTTCACCGTCAAGAATTAAAATAAAACCCAATGTTTTATATAATAAGCGGAAGTCGAAGCAATAAAACCGATGGTCGTTTTGTTTACAGTTTCTCTGTTTGGCTCTCACGTATGCTGTTACGCTTGTCATCTTAAATTAAGAATGTTTATACATAAACGATTTTCAGTTGCCGTATACGTGAGTAAATTGTTTCGTTATTTTATTGATTATAAAAAATCAATATTCAAAACGACCCAATTCATTTTCCTGAAAATTTGGGAATACAATAATTTTATTCTTAGTATTACACTACATCTATCCCAACTGATGTCCTTGCAAAAATGTTGATGACGTCATCGCAATTTTAAATTCCCACTACAAAAATGTAATGAGAAAAAAACACAATAGCCATGCAGTTGTCAAGTTTCCGACAGCGAGGGAAGTACTGTCTAAACTCTTTAGACCAATTTTTCTAGAAAATCTTCAACGGTCTTGCCGCAAAATGCCGAAAAAGAACATCTGGTTAAAAGCTTTAATTCATTATCAACGGAAGTAAGGATTTAAAGTCATAAAATCTATGGAGTATTTTTCCAATCCTATAATAAAATTTTATTACCCAAACGACCGGAACCTATTCACAGAAAGGGTCTTGAGTAAGTGTACTTCAATGGTCAAGTCCAGGTAAAATGCATACGATACGATACGGCTAACTAACAAGTATTTGTCATCCCGACAAGGCCGGCATTTGAACAAAATATGCATTAAGACTCATATTCGTCGAAAAAAGCATTAAATAAGCATATAAGTTTTAATATGCATAAAATTGAAAAAAAAGCAAATAAGCATAAAAAAATGTATCAAATGACTCCAAATTGTATCATAGTTACAGATATAAAAATTGGTCTAAAGAGTACTGATACAAAATGTATTTTTCTAGTTTGAAGAATTTTTTCATTTTATGAAATCAATGCAAAACTAATGGCTTTTCGTTTGTCAGTTATGATTTAGTATTAAGCTTTTGTATATTATGCGACGTGTGTAAATATTTTGCATAGTAACACAAGTATATTATATTATTATTATTAATATCTGGCGTCTAAATTTGTTAAAATTCGAATCAAAAACAATTACGCTACCATTGGAAAATCTGTTTGCGGGCATTATCATCCTAATATAGCCTCATTTTAACCTCGTTTTTAGAATGACGTGCAGATTTCTTTTTATTTTGGTTCATATACTGTTACTTTTTCATTTCTTTATTTTAAGGCCAAAATGTTTCCACATTAACCTACTCTGGGGTCCAAATTTCTACACATTTTTCTATCTATAATTAAAATTCTTAATTCATAATTATCTTATTTATTTTACTATTTTTTAACTTATTTACCTAAAGAATGCAAAAGTATAATTAATATTTACACTTATATAACTATTAGAGATTTTTTCGAAGATAAAACGCTTGAAGCGCAACTGATGTTTATTTCTAGTAGTATAAAATTATTTCAAAAATTTACGACAGAGCTCCAAAAAAATGAACCACTAATTCACTTAATTTTTGAAAAGATTAAAAATTTGATAGTGAATTTATCGAATTGATTTTGCAAACCAGCAATAGCGGAAAATTTAAAAAACGATATCTATTCTGCTTCTACTTTTGAAGTAAATAACTTAATTTCGTTGGAAATGCTTGAACTCATTATTGATATGTTCGCAGTTAATTTTAGGTTCCCTGGTCTTTTATTTTCGGATAAATTTAAAGGAATCTGATGTTTTGTTGCTTAATCAACTTGAAAAAATCTTTTCGGCTTTTACAGTTTTATTTTTTATGAATTTGAAAAAGTCTTGAGTGCCGCAGTTTTTTTTTAATTCGGGAGACTCTTGGGTACTCATGGTGTATTATTTTAAGAGTTCATAGAGATTTTTTTGTAAATTATTATTGATATCGCCAAATGACGTACCATCGAAGAAAATAAAAGGTGGTGGGTGGGAGAGGCCAATACTTGCCAAAATAAGACTGATTTTGCCAAATGATATAGCCTTCATTTTCTAGAGAGTAGGTCATTTGCCAATATCAGTCTTATTTTAGCTAGTACTAGCCCCGCCCGCCCACCCACCCTCATTTTTCTTAGAAGGTATCTCATTTGCCAAAATCAGTCTTATCTTGGCAGATACTAGCCCCGCCCACCCACCCTCTTTTTTGCCTTTGTTTTCTTAACATACATAGCTATCTTTTCACAACAAGAAACTTAGATTTCCCGATTTTTCGAAATTTCAGATTTTCAATTCGTCAATTTTTCGATTTTTTAAATTTTCGATACTTCGGCTTCCATTTTTCGAAAATTCGATAATTCAGTGTTGGGATTTTTCGATTTTTTATTTCTCGATTTTTAATTTTTTTCAATTTTGGACATTTCTAAATTTCAGACGTTTTCGACTTTTTCGATTTCTCAACTACTCGATTTCTCGTTTTTTTATTTTAAAATTTGTCTATTTCTCAATTATTTATCATTAGTTTCAGTTCTACGATCTTTCAATTTTCCCATTTCCAATTCTTCCATTTTTCGACTTTTCAGGTTTATGATTTTTCAGTTTTTCGATTTTTTTAATTTTCGGTTTTTTTGGCTTAAATTTTTGACTTTTCGATTTCTTGATTTTTCGAAATTTCGTGGCATTTTTCAATCTTCCGATTCTTTTCCTATTTTTTACGATTTCATATTTTCGATTTTTTCGACTTTTCTTGAATAATTGATTTTTTGGTTTTTTAACTTTCCGATTTTTCGTTATTTTTTGTTTTTAAATTTTTCGATTTCTCAATTTTCCAAAGACGCGTTTTACGATTTTTCAATTTTTCAATTTTAAAAACGTTTCCGATTTCTTAACTTCTCGATTAATAGATTTTGTCGTTTTTAGACTTATTGTTTTCTGGAATTTTGAATTTTCGTTTCTTAATCTTTTTCAATTTTTGACACATCTAAATTTCCGATTTTTTCGACCTTTCGTTGTCCCAATTTTTCGATTAATCGATTTTTTGGTTTTTCGACTTTTTCGATTTCTCAACTACTCGATT